GCTTGATAGTGGTGAATTCACTCAGCATTTGTCTGAAAAAAACCGTATCTTTCCTTCATTTGTGAAGCTTAGTTTCGCCAGATACAAAATTTTTGGGTGATAATTGTTTTGTTTAAGACTGAAGATAAGGCCCCAGTCCCTTCTAACTTGTAGGGTTTCTTCTGAGAAATCTGCTGTTAATCTGATAGATTTTCCTTTGCAGGTTACCTGGTGCTTTTGCCTCATAGCTCTTAAGATTCTTTCCTTCATTTTAACTTTTGATAACCTGATGACAGTGTGCGTAGGCGACGATCTTTTTGCGATGAATTTCCCAGGTGTTCTTTGAGCTTCTTGTATTTGGATGTCTAGGTCTTTAGCAAGGCTGGGGAAGTTTTCCTCAATTATTCCCCCAAATATGTTTTCCAAACTCTTAGATTTCTCTTCTTCCACAAGAATGCCAATTATTCTTAGGTTTGGTTGTTTAATATAATCCCAGACTTCTTGGAGGCTTTGTTCATTTTTTCCTTATTCTTTTTTCTTTGTGTTTGTTGGATTGGATTAATTTGAAAACCTTGTCTTCGAGCTCTAAAGTTCTTTCTTCTGCTTGTTCGATTCTATCGCTGAGACTTTCCAGAGCATTTTGCATTTCTCTAAGTGCATCCATTGTTTCCTGAAGTTTTGATTGTTTTTTATTTATGCTATTTCACTGAAGGTTTCTCCCTCTTTTTTTTTGTTGTTGTTGTTGTTTCTTTGTTTGGTTTTTCTTTTTTTTTTAGTAGAGGTGGGGTTTCGCCATGTTGCTCAGGCTGGCCTTGAACTCCTGGCCTCAAGTGATCCACCCACCTCAGCCTCCCAAAGTGCTAGGATTACAGGTATGAGCCACCATTCCTGGCCTCCCCTCATTTTCTCTATTATTTTTTTGATTTCTTTAAATTGGGCTTCACCTTTCTCTGGTGCCTCTTTGATTAGCTTAATAACTGACCTTCTGAATTCTTTTTCAGGTAAATCAGGGATTTCATCTTGGTTTGGATCCATTGCTGGTGAGCTAGTGTGATTTTTTGGTGGGGGCGGTTAAAGAGCCTTGTTTTGTCATATTACTGGAATTGTTTTTCTGGTTCCTTCTCATTTGAGTAGGCTATGTCGGAGGGAAGGTCTAGGGCTCAAGGCTGCTGTTCAGATTCATTTGTCCCATGGGGTGTTCCCTTGATGTGGTACTCTCCCCCTTTTCCTAGGGATGTGGCTTCCTGAGAGCCAAGCTATAGTGATTGTTATCTCTCTTCTGGATCTAGCCACCCAGCAAGTCTATCAGGCTCTGGGCTGGTACTGGGGGTTGTCTGCACTGAGTCCTATGATGTGAACCATCTGCAGCGTCTCCTCCGACGCCTGCGCTGTGTCGTCGTCGTAAAACAAAAAAAAACTCATACTGATATACTCACCTAATTATATCTGCTATACTATAGTAATCATACATATCTATTTTCCCTTCGTTTGTCTTGCTGCCTTCTAGCCCCGAGCGGCGCGGCTCTCGCCGGTGCTGCCCCCAGCTGAAGTGCAGTGGTACGATCTTGGCTCACTGCAACTTCTGCCTCCCGGGTTCAAGTGATTCTCCTGCCTCAGCCTCCTGAGTAGCTGGGATTACAGGCATGCACCACTGCGCCCAGCTAATTGTTGTATTTTTAGTAGAGACGGGGTTTCACCATGTTGTCCAGGATGGTCTCAATCTCTTGACCTCATGATCTGCCCGTCTTGGCCTCCTAAAGTGCTGGGATTACAGGTGTGAGCCACTGCGCCTGGCCTCTTTTTCTTTTTTTTTTTTTTTTTTGAGATGGAGTCTCGCACCATCGTTCTGGCTGGAATGCAATGGCGCAATGTCAGCTCACTGCAGCCTCTGCCTCCCAGGTTCAAGTGATTCTCCTGCCTCAGCCTCCTGAGTAGCTGGGATTACAGGCACCCGCCACCATGCCCAGCTAATTTTGTGTATTTTTAGTAGAGACGGGGTTTCACCATGTTCGTCAAGCTGGTCTTGAACTCCTGACCTCATGATCTGCCCGCCTCAGCCTCCCAAAGTGCTGGGATTAGAGGCATAAGCCACCATACCCGGCCGAGGCTGTATATTTTTTTAACAACTGGTTTGTGATCTGAAATTGGCATAAGATTCCTGTTGTCACACATGCAATTAATTCAAAGGTACGGACATGTAACTATTGGATAAGTTTGTCATCATGTTTATTAATCTGATTTTAAAAGATAGATCTGTTATTTGGGCAAGAATGAAATGAAGCTCAATAAGTGCTCCTTCCCTCCTGTCTTCTTCCCAGAGGGTCTTGCTGTGTGGCCCAGGCTGGAGTGCGGTGGCACAATCATAGCTCATTGCAGCATCAACTTTCTGGGCTCCAGCAATCCTCCCACCTCAATTTTCTGAGTAGCTGAAACGAGAAGTGCAGGCCACCACACCTGGCTAACTTTTTAAAGTTTTTTTGTAGACAAAGGGTCACACTGTATTGCCCAGTTTGGCCTTGAACTCCCGGGTTCAAGTGCCCCCCGACACCTTGACCTCCCAAAGTGCTAGAATTAGAGGCCTGAGTCATCGTACCCTGCCAAATAATTTATTTTTAACCAAACTTTTAAATTATTATTACCATTATAGAGTTGCTATTGTCTTCCGCTTTTAAAAGATAATGGAGGAGAAACTGAAAATTATGCCTCTTGATTAATTCCTATTGCTTCCCATAATATAGAAAAATCTAAATTGTGCCTTTAAAGTTTTAGATTTTTAAGAGAATACATAAATTTGCTTCCGAGTACCTTATATTTGGGGGAAATACTCCCTATCCTGTTCAGGCTGTTATGTTCCATCCCTGTCTCGCCAACACTTTAACTCCCGAAATTTCCTAAATAAAACTTTCTCATAATTCAAAGTCTTTGTTAGATCTTCTCTAAGAGGCCTTAGCAGACTGTCCTTTCAAATATTTTCATGCATTTACTTCAAAACAGTTGATAATCTATTGCATTTGTTTTCTGTCTTATCTCTAGTAGATGGTAAATCTTCCTCATTTTGTAATCTTTAATACAGTTCCAAGTTTGTTTATTTGGTGGAATGTCAAGATTGTTCATTGTAAATTTGTGGCCAGTGAACAGTGGCACATATTTGTATTTATGCGTGTATGCTTACACTATCTGTAGTGCAGCACAATTTTTAGTTAGTAGCAGAAAAACACTAATCCTGATGTACCCAAAATTTCATGTTTGAGGGAAAAAATGTAGATGGCTCAGAACTATGTCGCACATGTGATATAGCAGGAGAGCAAGCGAGATAGAGCGCCATGTAGATACAGCTTCACTTTAATCCGAGACATTTGCGAGTTGCTGGACTTAGGTGATTCTTTATCCAGAGGACTCCCGTAGGGGCTGGATTAATTTCTAAGACTGGGGAATCCCAACCTACTTTAGTAGATAATCCTAGGAGGCCTTTCAAAGTGCTGGGGGTTGGGGGACTGTTCCTACTTCAAACTAAGCCAATGTGGCAACTGCACCCTGTTCTTCAGAAGTCTTTTTGGATCATCTCAGGTGCAGAAATCCTCTCTTACCTCTCTGATACACCTTTGGTTGTTTTTAAGAGACAGAGTCTTGCTGTGTCACCCAGTCCTCCCACCTCAGCCTCCCAAGTAGCTAGGAATACAGGTGCACACCACCACACCCATCTAATTAAAAAAAAAAATTGAGGGCTGGGCCCAGTGGCTCATGCCTATAATCCCAGTACCTTGGGAGGCTGAGGTGGGCAGATTGCTTGAGGTCAGGAGTTCGAGACCAGCCTGGCCAACATGGTGAAACCCTGTCTCTACTAAAAATACACAAAAAAAATAGCCAGGCGTGGTGACGCAAACCTGTAATCCCAGCTACTCAGGAGGCTGAAGCACGAGAATCACTTGAACCCGGGAGGCAGAGGTTGCAGTGAGCCGAGATCGTGCAGCTGCACTCCAGCCTGGGTGACAGAGTGAGACTCTGTCTCAAAAAAAATTAAAATTTTGTAGCAAGAGTCTATGTTGCCCAGGCTGGTCTCAAACTCCTGGCCTCAAGCAGTCCTCCCACCTTGGCCTCCCAAGGTGCTGAGAGTATAGGCATGAGCCACTGTGCCTGGTCTGGTACACTCTTTATCCAGCATAAATTGGGGTATTTTAACATAATCTATGCAGTCTATCAGTTTTTTCTACACAGGCGATACAGAGACCAGTGGTGGAGTTATGATGAACAATAGCATCCAAGATTCAGAAGCAGCATATTACTTCAAGCAGCTTACCCAAACCACATATACAAAAGAGCAGTCATGACTTCAGTCAGAGAAGAAAAAAAAACTCCAGATTTAGATCTAGTCCTACAATACCCTAGACCCCATCTCCATCTCTAGACTCTGCCTCTCCCTCAGTACTCTCAGGTCACGTTCGCCTGTTTGTCTTCCAGGATGCCTACAGGACTGCCTGCCTCGGGTTCTTTACATTTGTTCTCTCTGCTGAACACTCATAGCACAAATATCCTTAGACCTTCCATGTTCACCCCAATACAAATAATCTCCACCCCATTTCCCAAGTCAGTCTATATCATGTTACCCTATGTTATTTCTTCTACTGCATATCACTATCTAAAATTCCTATTTACAAATTGTCTCTCTACTAGGATATGATACATGGATATGATACATGAGGTCAGGGGACTTCATCTGTATTTTTCTCAGCTGAATCCCCAGTGTATAGCATAGTATCTGGATCAAAATAGATGATAAATTTGTGAATGGATTGATTCACCTGAATTATTTCAGCACAAACTAAATTGTAGTAATCACACAGTTGATTTCTAATAATTATTCATATTTAAGAACATACCCTCATCTTCAAAGAAATTATCAAATACAATTTTTTTTTTTGTTTTACTAACTCATTTAGGAACTGTTTTCTGGAAAATAAGTTTATGCTAGATTAATTTTCAAGGCTGAATATTTTTCTTCAAATGAAATAAATACAAACACATTTCTATATACACAGCATTTTTATTAAATATACTCTGTGAGAAAAAGAACACCCTAAAAGTGCCAGATTTCATGTAAATCCAATAACTTAGTAAATACAATAGTGAAAAAAAAAAATCAGAGGGAAACATAATTTAAATAATCTTATAAAAGAGCAAGAACATATCTTAATCTTCATATAAGAAAACAATCATCAAAATATGAAAGGGAAAGAAATCTCTTTTGTAGAAGAATATATTTCAAAATTCCACCTGATCATTTCATTTAAAAAATTCTAAACACATGGGCAGTCTCACTCTTACCAACATGTATGTTTAAATCAATGGTAGAAGGGGAATTAAGACTACTCATTCACACTGGGATAAAGTGACATTTTTGTTGCACAACAGTATTGCTCACTGCACTAAGAGTGGAAGATGGAGGAATTAGATTTCTGGCTTCAGTTGTTAGCAGCAGAATTGGATTAATGCTAAAAATTTAGGAAAAAAATAGGGCCAAGCTGTAGCGATTTCCAAGTAACACAAACATTAACCAAACATTGCCAATTTGTAACGGGCTACAAAAAAACAAATGAAAATACTCTACATTAATATAGCTTTATGTTACTTTCTATTAAAGATATTCAGTGGGCATATTCTAAATTATATAGGGCTTCTATAGAGACCTAAACTAGCAAGTATGATATGAAGCTAACAGGATAGTGTCAACATATCTTGGGATGTTCTAGCCAATGTTTGGCTACAAGTATTTGGAAGGAGTCAAATAACTATATGCACATTCAAAATGAAGACTTTTAAAAAGAAATCTTAATGTATCCAATATCCACAAACTGAAAAGTGTTACACATGTTGTGGGGGAAAAATACTGATGATTGGCTGAATGACCAATTATACATACCACTTACGAAAAGCTGGGTGATACAGGTGCAAAAAAATATATATGCACACATGTATCTCTAATAACATCCTACCAACATATATGTGTTGCATGACATAGTTAAAGCTGTATTACCAAACTAGGATATGTAAGGTATCAATGTAGTTAAAATTAAATTTTAAGTAAAAAGCTGCTGCTACTTAAACAAGAGAGTGAACTTTGGGGTTTATTCAATAATTAGTTCTCATATATAAAAAGTTTGATATTAATAAACAATTCTTGTCACCAGAAGGTTTTAGACAGTATAGAAACTTACAGAAAAGTGTTTTTGGACCACTTTAAATAGTTGGAGGAAGCAAATAAAAGGATTAAACTGGATTATGAGTATGAATGCATTTATGATCAAAATTAACACACAAAAAAATCAAAACACATTTCACAGCAGAACCTGCAAAAATTTTTGTATTCATCTTTTCTGAACCATAAAAAAGAATTAATCTTAATATGACTTTTAAGCAACAAAAATAATTTAATCATGAAGTATCAGCTTGATTATGAATGTATTTTATTATCTTTATCAGTTGGTAAATTAACTGTGTTATCCAAAAAGGCTGACCAGCTCTAACTAGTATGAACAGGATATTGAATTCATTAATGAATATATAACTATTTTGAACATACAAATAATCTCTGGTTTTACACACCCACTACATTTCAGTATCCTGTAAACTGTGAGGCATACAATATGTTTAATGTGGCAGAAAATCATATGAAATGATTATTTTATTCTGTTCAGTCCTTTTCCCATTAAGCATGCAAACACCGTCATAACCATCTTTGGTTTTACTTCTACGAGGTCATCAGGTAATGCATATATCCGGGCACCGATCTTCCGAGCAACTGAAATGGCATATCTTGAAGAGACAAGAAAAATATCTTGGTGTTATCCACTGTGTTTTCACTTAACATATTTTAACAAAAGAGTGAAATATTGTGACAAGATTAATTTTACGAAAAGGTTAAGTTTGTGAGTCTTAAATCATATTCCCCATACAAGTTATATTTAAAAATATGAATTTTAAGGGCATAGTAACCTTTCCTATAAGGATTTTAGAGAATTAAAGGGCCACTGTGTTCTAATATAAACCATAAAGGCTTACTTAGCATTGTTCAGCTTGTCCTCATCAGATAAGTTTTCTCTCCTGATCATTTCTTGACGAACTGCATTTGGTGCAATGGCATCTATTAAATCTAGAACAGGTAAACTTGTGCTTATAGATTTATCCTAGAAAACAAAGCATAGATGAACATTCATAATCTTCTGACCTTTAATTTTCATTATTTTCAGACTCTTCTGATCATATAACTGAAGGCAATCTATAAATTATTTGTACCTAACCTAACGTTCAGCTTTTCTGCAACCAGCACACATAAATAAACCATTTAAAATATACTTTTCCTTAAATCTTTATATAGAGTTGTCAGCATACCTGAATAAGGTTTGTGGACATGATAGCTCCTAAGTATGCTAACTCCAGTTTCTATTCTGTAAAAAATACACATCTTTTGAAAGGGAGTAGATGAATTTTTAATTAACAATTTTTAAATTCTACTCATATATTTCTTAGACCACAAATCCCAAAGCCTTCCCTTAATATTTTTCAGAAAGAAAATGAAATAGCGAAAGGGAACATTTACAAAGACATTGTTCTTATTGTTTTACATGTTTTAGTTTATTTAATCCACCTTTTAAACCCTAGCATATTGATAGTAAAGGAATTCTTTTTTTAAAAAAGATGAAGAACATGAAGTTCCTAAGATAGCTCAAATGACTTGTTTACACAACCAATAAATACAGAACTGGTATTTGAACCCATGACAGTCTGACTCTAAAATGCCCAAGAGCATTTTGAAGTTACCACCAAGGCAAGCTAAAAATAGACAACTAAATTGTAGTGAATAGTGCATTGCAGATGAAATCAGACATCCTGGTCTGAACTGATTTTTACCACTTATCAGTACTTGAACAAATTATTTGTTCTCTCTCTCAGCTTGAATAGTGGCCACCACTGCTTGCCTACCCAGAATCTACCCACTCTTTACTTCTTCTATACAAATAGAACCCATATTTTTGCTCTATATCCATACCTCCTTCACATAGACACAAGCTTCAAGGAAAGCCGACATTCACAGTTCTAGGAGTGAATCTAAATTAACCTAGGTCAAGCATTCTCAATGGAGGCAGGGTGATAACCTTTTTTATGTATAAAGCATGCAGTGCATGAACAGGTAGGTATACAGTGTATCTCTGCATTAAAATTTCATGGGAGAGAGAGAAAAAGGGAAAAAATGTCTAAAAATATTCCTTAGAGGATAATTTTCTTTTAAGGTTTCAAAACACTGGTCTAAGCCAAATAGAGGAATCCTATTCTATTACCACAGTGATTTAATTTGGGCCTATGTTATGGAAAGCCAGCAACCCCACCTCCTGGATGTGAATGGCGGATGAAACCTCTGTCACAAGCAGGAACTATCCTATGATCAAAAGGAAAACCAGCTTTAGGGTGAAGCTGGCACATTAGATGGCAAAGCAGAGATGGGAAAAAAAAATGGAGTTCCGAATGACATTCTTCAATTATTGGTTCAACCAATCCAGAAGTCTACCCTACCTCTGGATTACTGTTATTGTGGTCAATACCTTTCCTTTCAGTTTAAACCACGTGAAATTGGGTTTCTGTTACTTGAAGCCAGAGCACCCTTTCCTAATCTCTAAAGTAGAATGTCATAGGATTCTTAGGAATATTGAGGTGGTATAGGTGAAAGCATCTAGTATAGGCTCTAGCCAAATGTCAGTTCTTAATCAATATCTAATAAAACAATTTGAAGCCATGTGAAGAAGAGTAACAGGCTTCTTTGAACCACGATCAGCCACTTCATTTATTACTTTTTTTTTTTTTTTTTTTGACACAGAGTCTCACTCTGTCGCCCAGGCTGGAGGGCAGTGGCGTGATTTTGGCTCACTACAAGCTCCGCCTCCCGGGTTCACGCCATTCTCCTGCCTCAGCCTCCTGAGTAGCTAGGACTACAGGCGCCCGCCACCATGCTTGGCTAATTTTTTTTGTATTTTTGGTAGAGACGGGGTTTCACCGTGTTAGCCAGGATGGTCTCAATCTCCTGACCTCGTGATCCGCCTACCTTAGCCTCCCAAAGTGCTGGGATTACAGACGTGAGCCACTGTGCCCGGCCTCATTTATTAATTTTACAAAAATTTATATTCTTATTAGGAATGTTCATTTTATGATACAGATCTTTAGGCAGGGGTAATATTCTTATTAGGAATGTTCATTTTATGATACAGATCTTTGGGCAGGGGTAATATTCTTATTAGGAATGTTCATTTTATGATACAGATCTTTGGGCAGGGGTAAGGGTAAAAATAATTAGGTCCTTTAAGTCTATCTGATGCTGGTAATCTGGATCTGCTTTTCGTATCTTCTCTGTTTCTGAGAAATTATCATACCTGTTTGCTCAATATATAGTCTGCAGACCACCCACATGAAAATTATGTGGAGTACTTGTTAAAAGTGCAAATCTAGCTCCACTCAAACTAATGTCAGGTTATCTATGAATGAGGCTGGGAATCTACATTTTTAATAAGCTCTCTAGATGACTCTAAATGTGTACTGTATTATACTTTCTAAAAATAATATTTATTTCATTCTAGAATAAATTTTAATTTCTATGGGCTTATCTTTCATATATTTATGATTAATTTTTTAAAAGACAAGTGACTTAATTGTGCTATAATTTGATTCCTTATTTATATGTGTTATTTTAAATATTTCATTTAGATTTAGGAAACAAGTATTTTTCCCACCCATTTTCTTATGAGTTACTTTGGGTAAAGCTTCTACTGAGTTGAATGAAAAATTTAAGTTTCTAAAGATTGTATCAGATCTCTTATCTTCTTGTTTTCGATAAAATAGCCCTGTCTTCCAAATCCTCTAATTCGTACATTGTCAGTGAAAGACATTTTACTTTTGCAAAGGGAAAGGGGTTACAGTGAAAACCCTTAGGTTAGTATATAAACACATTTCCATTATTTTTCCTTTTATTTCCTTAAGTTAATCATAAAGAAATGACCTCAGCAAAAAGAATTTCATTATCTTAATCTAGAATTACCTAGAGCTTGATTTTCAAGATAATGATTTTTTCCCTTTATTTGATACATATTAGAACATTTCATTCCACTGCTATTTCTGTCATTTTAAAAAATAAAAATGGAAAGGCCGGGCATGGTGGTTCACACCTGTAATCCCAACACTTTGGGAGGCCAAGGCAGGCAGATCATGAGGTAAGGAGATTGAGACCATTCTGGCTAACACAGTGAAACCCCATCTCTACTAAAAATACAAAAAATTAGTTGGGCGTGGTGGCAGGCGCCTAGAGTCCCAGCTACTCAGGAGGCTGAGGCAGGAGAATTGCCTGACCCTGGGAGGCGGAGGTTGAAGTGAGCTGAGATTGTGCCACTGCACTCCAGCCTGGGCAGCAGAGCGAGACTCCATCTCAAAAAAATTAAATAAATAAATAAATAAATAAATGTAGAAAACCAGTGATGTGGCCACCAGACTTCCCTAAAAGGCTCAGCAGACTCCCCTGCCCCGCCACATATGATGCCCTTTATATATTAGCAATGCCAACAGCGTGGTAAGCCCCATTTATTGAGCCCTTAATATGTGCTAGGTACTGTTAAGCTCTTTACATTTTGTTAACTTATGTAGTCTAACAACAATCTTAGTAGATAGGGATTATTAATTTCCCCATTTTAGATATGGGGAAACTGAAGAATAGAGAAATTAATAACTTGCCCATGGTCACACAGATACTAAATGCTGAGCCAGTAGTTTATTCATCAGTAGATGTAGCCCTGCTGTTAGTATAAACTGCTAAGGTTTCTGTAAAACAGATGCCCTTCTCATGTGGTCCCACACTCCCCCCCTTAGCTAATTTATATAGTATTGCTGACACCCCATACTGTGATTCTTGTTTTCTTATTTGCCACCTTCCCTGAATAGTGAGCTCTTTGAGGGCACTATGTAGCCACAGCGACTAGCAAGGCAGCTGACACAGGGCAAGCTTTGAATATTTATGTAATAAATGAGCAGTATGTTACACAGCTAATCAGCAGCTCAGCCAAGAGTCAACCCAGGACCATAAAACTCCAAAGCTTGGCTTTCCACTTGTGCATAGACAGACCTGGATATGAAACCCAGCTGTTCTGCTTAAAAGTTGTATGACAGTAGACAGTTACTTAACTTCTCTAATGCTCACCTTTTTGCTCAGAGTATTTAATTAAAGGAAACAATATGTAAAGTGCTTAACACAGTGACACAAAGGACTCAATAAATGGTAATTATGATTATTATTTGCTGATATACCACCTTCTCTATCTTCTTAGCAAGAGAAATTTATTTTGTGGCTAAAAAGGGTAAATTTGTCTTTTCTGAAATTCCTATAGTGCTACTTTGATTATAATTAAAATGTTTTTTCTGCTAGTACCACTTAATATAGCCTTCAAACATAATGACTTCTGTAGTTGGAAAAAAGCCTCCCTCACCTCAACTATGTTTTAGCATTCACTGCCTCATTTCTTCACTATTTGTGCTCTCTTTAAAGATTTTATCATTAAGCATATGCAAAATGCCAAGCACTCTTGCGATGTTTCTGCCACCTCAGTTCTAAGTAGAGCCAAACTCTCAAGTCGGCTGTTCTCTATGGTTGCTCTCCCTTAAAAGGTTTATGCACTCCCATTTCTCAACTCTTTTATTCAACTGATCACCAAGTCTGTCTTTCCAGTTTTAATGTCTCCTTTCACTGGCCCCATTTTCCTAAAATTACCTCAAATTCAAGCCTAAAACTGAATTCATCACCTTTTCCAGGAAGAAGCTGTACCTCATGACATCCCCATTTCTATTAGTGTTATCTGTTTTCCAGTTACCCGTGCCCAAAACATCAAGAGTTTTGGCTCTTCCCTCCCCTCTGCTTCCCCAAATCAGGAAGCCAAATCCTAGTTCTTCTTTTGCAATAACTTATAGCTTTCTAATCTTACCATTTCCATTCCCAGCCCCAAACCCCTTATTACTTCACACCTTGAGTACTGCCTTGAATTCTTCTGCACTGTCCTTGCAGTTACGCTATTCTCCCTCCCCATCCTGTTCACCACGTGCAGATTAGTATTCCTAAAATAATTGCCTTTCTTATTACCCCCTTTACTCAATATCCTTTATTTAGGCCAAAATCCTCCACAATCTTGACCCAATTTATGTCTTGCACAACATCCCTTAGGAACCATCCTATTTCTCTTAACTTTCTTAGACATGCCTTTATTCAAGATGGACCCTTCTAAGTTTGTTATCCCCCTTTCTCTCCACCAATTCAAATCCTCCCGCCATCTGTGATGTTCAAATCCAGCTGTCTTTATCGGCTCTTCACTGACCATTCAATTGGAAATGATCAAACTTTTCATCCACAATATTAGTTGTATTACTTGAATTTTGTCATTTACTCTATAGTATTGTTACCTTCTCAGTTATACAATCTTTGTCTTTAAAATAAATGGTGAACACTCTGAGGGCCAAATTAATTTCCTATACTTTATACCCTTTTCTTTACTTAGAAAAGTTACTTAATAGGAGCTCAATAAATATTAATTTGCTCCTAAATATTTTCTATTGTATTAGCTATATACATGCTTAATATTTTCTATAAATTAATGTGCAAATGCATATAATTTCAACATAACAATTTTAAAGAATAACTGCCAATTAGAGAATTTTATAATACAATGCCCATTGCTATTTTATATTTTTGTGTTCTATGTCTAAAACACAGAGAGACAAATCATGGATTGAAAATTACTTCAAAAAAAAAAATAAGAAGTAACAAAAACTCAGTGTCCTTAGTTTCTTCCAAGATAGAAAAGGAAAAATTAAAAAAAAAAAAAAAAGCAATTGAACTAGGACTCAGGCAACATCTCTGCCAATATCCAGCTGTCCTGTTAAAACTGCCTTGGGCCTCAGTTTTTGGCAAACATGAGAAGATTGAATTGATAAATTTCTGACATTTCTTTCACTTTGTAATGTTGTTAAGCATATAAAGCAAGGGCAAAGAGAGAAATAAAAATGGGTAGATATCTCTTAGGAGAGCTTAGTGTTTCATCTCTTTGTACTTTATTTCAGTAAAAAACAAATTGATTGCAGTTTTTCACACATAATAAAATCACAAACACAAGGCTCACTGAATGAATGTGTACAAGCAGACATGCTTATTTGTAGCTAACATCGGCTTGCATGCAAAAGCAAAACACAATGGAAATGCATGAAAATTAGTGGGTAGGTATGTACAGATTACATTTTGAGTGCTTTATGAATCATCCACAAATGCTCGGAAGTGAGTGTTAAGTGCCATTATGAAGCCAGATGACAAGATTTTTTTTTCCTACCAGTTTTCTCAATTCCCACTTGGATCGGTTTGGCTGGCTCTGTTATGCCTTGGAAATGATGTCAATACAATTCTGAGACTGCTGCTAGGGAGCACAAAACATTATAGGTCCTATATAAACAATGGCTTCTTATCTTTTTCATTTGATAACTGGATTTTTTTTGGCTCTATTCTGTTTATTTTTTATGATTAGATTACCAGAGTCAGATAATATTAACCTGCATTTATACTTAACTGGACAACCAATCAAAAATTTAGTAATTAAAACTGAATATTTCAAGTTTACACATGCCAAATAATTAGTATGCCTAAACTCATAAATCATGTTTCTGACATACAACATCAATATAATTCTAAGCCAAACCAATGTAATTTCCAATAAAAATTCATTCCTGGCCAGGCGCGGTGGCTCACATCTATAATCCCAGCACTTTGGGAAGCCGAGGTGGGCAGATCACAAGGTCAGGAGATCGAGACCATCCTGGCTAACATGGTGAAACCCTGTCTCTACTAAAAACACACACACAAAAATTAACCGGGCGTGGTGGCAGGCACCTGTAGTCCCAGCTACTTGGGAGGCTGAGGCAGGAGAATGATGACCCGGGAGAATGACCCGGGAGGCAGAGCTTGCAGTGAGCCGAGATCGTGCCACTGCACTCCAGCCTGGGTGACAGAGCGACACTCCGTCTCAAAACAGAAAAAAATTCCTTCCTATAGCAACGGAAAAAGAAAGAAATTTAAGACTCTTGCTTACCTTGAAGCTGGAAATAGAAGTCTTTTTGTTTGCACTTTTAAGAGTCTGATTGACCCATTTAATAATAATTTCATCATTTACTTTTTCACCCTCTCCAAGATCTGATAACACATTCAATGTGTACCTGCAACAGAAAAGATGTATATTTGAGACTGAAAAGGGTAAAATTTGCTTTCACATAATTTATATCAATGCTTAGATAAATACTTAAGGAACAGTTCAGTTCTAACAAATATTTCTAATTTTAGTCTGGCATTTGCACCCAGTTACATTCCAAAGTTACAAACCTCATTAATCAGAAACAAAAACTACTACATGGTAGTTTTAAAACTTAAAGCAATTCCTTATGAAGCCATTTTTAAGAGGCATTAATAAAAGTGATAGTGTTTCTGGATATTGACCCATTTTTAAATAAAATATAATTTACAAAAAAACCATAATCAACAGTAAATCCTTTAAAAATTAAAATATTTTACATTGTATATTTCTTCTGTGTTCATTATTGTTCAAAAATAGCTAAAAGTTTAGTTCAGATTACTTGTTGGAGGAAACAGGCAGTGTTGGTACCAACATATCAGCCTTTACCTTCTCATCAGCTGCCATACCAATGCCAGGGTAAGTGTTGAATTCCCTTCATTTAGGTCCTGCCCAGCAATGCCAACCAAGGAGAATTTGGCCTTGTTCTTCCCAAGTTCCACTGCATAGTTACAGTTTTCAATCTATAAATAAGTAAAAGTTTGGGTATAAAACAGATTTTTAAAAACATATCTCCTGAATACACCAGCCTAGTTCAGCCATCTGAAAAACAGTTATGATGACACCTTAAATTTATATGACCAATTTCATAATAATAACCCAGGGAAAGCAAGGACATAATTATTTCCATTTTATAGTTGAAGATTTAAAGCACTGAGTGGGTTAACCTAAATAGAGGAACAACTGGCTGGAAAGTTTTAAGATCCCCTCCTATTCTAAAAGTCTCGACTATCCAGGCCGGGCGTGGTCGCTCATGCCTGTAATCCTAGCACTTTGGGAGGCCGAAGCAAGTGGATCACCTGAGGTCAAGAGTTCGAGACCAGCCTGGCCAACATGAAACCTCATCTCTACTAAAAATACAAAAAGTAGCCAGGTGTGGTGGTGGGTGCCTGTAATTCCAGCTACTCAGGAGGCTGAGGCAGGAGAATCACTTGAACCTGGGAGGTGGAGGTTGCAGTGAGCCAAGATCGCGCCATTGCCCTCCAGCCTGGGCAACAGAGAAAAAACTCTGTCTCAAAAAAAAATTTTCTTGACTATCCAAGATGAAATAGCTTATTAGTGGTACATCTGTGACTAAAAGACAAGGTTTCTTGCTTTCCTTTAATGAAGTAATAGATGATGTTTTGTTTATATTTAAAATTTAAAAAAAGAGAAGAAAGTAATTGTTTTATTAAGAATCTAACTTCATCTCCAATATTCTTTACCCAGATCTTACTCATCCTCTGAAATTCAGCTTTTGGCCCCTTTCTTCAATAAAGGCTTAACCTTAACTGTACCAGCTAATAATGATCTATCCTTTGCTTGAACTCCTAAGAATGCTTATTTTGTAATGCTTATGCACCATCTTCTACTTATACTTAGCCTTTTATGTGTTTCCTTTCAACAACTATAGTATAAGCTTCTTCTAAAGGACAAAAATTTTTTCATGCACCAATCTATCCACTTCCAGCACAATGCCCTGCCTAAAGTAAGAATCTGATACATAAACACCTAATAAATTGTTTACCCTCCCCAACCACACACACATACTTCTTTCCAGTGATATAGGTCCAGCTGGGTCCTTTCTCTAACACTTTTTTTGTCTATCCTGGAGTCAATAGGGTTTTTTATCTCCATCATCTAGTGCTGTGTTTCTTATATCAGAACTTATAAATTCTTATGTATCTGAGTCTTTTTGCTCCAGTGAAATTATAAGCTCTCATAATCTTATCACCAGTAGGAACAAAAGTGCTTACACTAAGTACTTTTTGGAATAAACATTTAAAAGGAGAACACTATTTTTCTTAATTTTCTTCCAAAAGTTAGTTAAGGCACCATTACAAAATAGTCTAACCTAAGGTACATAGATACATTTTTCCCAATAGTAAGAAAATATTTCCAGGAAATGTGAGACAGCTAATGAAAGAATTTGTACAAATATATGGTTATTGTTCTTTAAAAAAGAGAATCCAAATTCCCAAAGTTCAATTTACTACAAATAAAAATGGAAGATCTTTGAGCCTGCTATAACATCTGCCTGGCTCACTTCACAAATTGAATAAAATGTTTGATATGTATTCATTTTTTTAAAATCCAAGGAGAAGCTGGGTGTGGTGGCATGCCAGTAGTCCAGCTACTTAGGTTGAGGCAGGAGGATCACTTAAGGGCAGGAGTTCAGGGCTGTAGTGTGCTATAATCATGCCTGTGAATAGCATGCACTCCAGCCTGGGCACCATAGTGAAACCCTATTTCTAAAAAAATTTTTAAAGAGTTTTTTAATGCAGAGATAATATTTCAAAAAATTGTTTGGAATCATATTAAATTATAGGCTTAGACCACTTAAAAGAAATATATGCTGTAAGAATGTCGATTTTAAAAAACAGAATAGATTCCTAATTTATGGAAAATAACATTAGCACTTGAATTACTTAACACTGTGTACAGGAGAGTAAAAAGCCAGCGTATTTACCATGGACACCCATTTCAGTGGGAGAATTTTATAGCAAACTGCAGTAATCACATGTGTTTCAATGAAGAGCCATCTGCTTTACAGTTATACCAAAGTTCCTAAGGGAAATGATGGCGAGAAAGGAGTTCAGGGTTGCTAGTATAGAGGCCTAAGAACATACTGATATGACCAGCATTGAAAGAGAAACTGGAAACAGGTGCTAACATAAGGGAAAGCATATATTCTATTTATTGGCAATAGTTGGTTCCAAATTTGGCAGAACACTTCTAAGAGATCTAGAGAGGTACCAAACTAGAGAAGGAATAAGAAATTAGGTTCCTAGAGGTAATCCATGTGTATGGTAGTACAGGTTGAATATCCCTAATCTGAAAATCCAAAAATCCAAAATACTCCAAACTCTAAAACTTTTTGAGCACCAACACAATACTCAAAAGAAAAGCTCATTGGAGCATTTCAGATTTTAAGCTTAAGGATGTTCAACCAGCATACTGCAAATATTCCAATATCTGAAATACATCTGGTCCCAAGTATTTTGGATAAGGGATGCTCAGCCTGTACTTAAAACCCTAAAAACAGATCTGCTCCCTGAGGGTGTAAATATAGAAGTTAAGACCTTTGGGCCAAGAACCAGGCCTTGGAAATACTGAGTTGTCAGGCTAAAAGATGAAGAACCTATGAAAGGTAAGAATGAGCACAAAGAAAGCAAGAAAAACTTGGAGTGCAGTCTCACAGGGTTAACGGAAGAAATGATTACTATATTAGTTCCGTTTTCACGCTGCTGATAAAGACATATCCAAGACTGGGAAGAAAAAGAGGTTTAATTGGACTTACAGTTCCATATGGCTGGGAAGGCCTCAGAATCATGGTGGGAAGCAAAAGGCACTACTTACATGGCGGCAGCAAGAGAAAATGAGGAAGATGCAAAAGCGGAAACCCCTGATAAAACCATCAGATCTCCTAAGTCGTATTCACTACCATAAGAACAGTATGGGGGAACTGCCCTCATGATTCAAATTATCTCCCACTGGGTCCCTCCCACAACACATGGGAATATGGGAGTACAATTCAAGATGAGATTTGGGTGAGGACACAGTCAAACTATATCAATTACCAAGTACTTTAAATGCTTTGGACAAAAATGAAGCTTAGATCATTTGGACAATGAGAAGAGTTACGTAATGGGACACAAGGGTTCAAGTGAAAATAAATACTTAAAAATAAAGAAGGCGGCCAGGCATGGTGGCTCATGCCTGTAATCCCAGCACTTTGGGAGGCTGAGGCAGGTAGATCATGAGGTCAGGAGATCAAGACCATCCTGGCTAACACGGTGAAACCCCGTCTCTACTAAAAATACAAAAAAATTAGCTGGGCGTAGTGGCAGGTGCCAGTAGTCCCAGCTACTCAGGAGGCTGAGGCAGGAGAATGGCATGAACCTGGGAGGCAGAGCTTGCAGTTAGCTGAGATCACGCCACTGCATTCCAGCCTGAGCAACACAGCAAGACTCTGTCTCAAAAATAATAATAATAATGAAGAAAGGCTATTTTAACGGTGCAGCTTTAAGAACTTCGTAACCGAAGGAAAGTGACATCTATTGATTATTGCCCAAATTCCATAAAATAATTCCATAAAGTAATTCCCTGTGATACTGTGTCATGAAAGTACTGCTTCTTCATTTTTTAAACATCTTGAATTTATTTCAGGCTTTATGTTTCATTCTATACTTGTTGAAAAAGTATTCTGCATATGATTCATTTGTGACATATGTATTTATTTGTAGTTCACATTAAAATTCCAGGTATAATGAATGGTTAATTTCTGTTTTCCTGTTACATTTTGCACTCAGAATTTTGGAGAAAAAAACTTACATGAAATTAGTCAATAAAATTTTCTGAATTCTACTCCCATGAAAAGAATTATATGCAAATCAAATGAAATTAAAAATGCAGGCAGTCCAATGACTAGGAATGCTGAAAAATATAACTCTTTATAATTATACCACACATTTAACTACTTTTATATTATGATATATTTCCCTTTAAAGGTCTTTTTAAATTTTTTTCTTTAAACATTACAGTGTCTATAAATACATTTTCATTCTATAGACGTGAAAAACCCAAAGTCCCTTTTGAATGCATCTCTGTGTGTGTTATGTATTTTAAACAAATTAGATTCATATTATGTATATATATAATTTTGTGTCCTGCTCATTTCCATACCACTATTACTAAAACAATATTTTTTCTTTGTTTAATTATACTTTAAGTTCTGGTATACACGTGCAGAACATGCAGGATTGTTACATAGGTATACATATGCCATGGTGGTTTGCTGCACCCATCAACCCGTCATCTAGGTTTTTTTTTTTTTTCCTCGAGATGGAGTTTCGCTCTGTTACCCAGGCTGGAGTGCAATGGCACATCTCGGCTCATTGCAACCTCCGCCGGTTCAAGCCATTCTCCTGCCTCAGCCTCCCAAGTAGCTGGGATTACAGGTGCCCGCCACTATGCCCAGCTAATTTTTTGTATTTTTGTATTTTTTTGTATTTTTGTATTTTCACTGTATTGGCCAGGCTGGCCTCGAACTCCTGACCTCGTGATCCACCTGCCTCAGCCTCCCAAAATGATGGGATTACAGGTATGAGCCACTGCGTCTGGCCCCCATCATCTAGGTGTTAAGCCCCACATGCATTAGGTATTGTCCTAATGCTCTCCCTCCCCTTTCCCCCCACCCCCTGACAGGCCTGGGTGTGTGATGTTCCGCTACCTGTGTCCCTGTGTCCTCACTGTTCAACACCCATTTATGAGTGAGAACATGCAGTGTTTGGTTTTCTGTTCCTGTCAAACACTATTTTTTAATGGCACATTTTACTTCATCTTATGAGTGTGTCAATTTTATTAACCCTTTATTGAACAACTGGGTTGTTTTCTTGTGTGCTGTATAAACACTGCTATGATTAGCATTTTGCCACACAACTTTGTGTCTTTCTGATTTTTTCATCAGGATAGCTGGAAAAAGGTGAAATTAGGTCAAAGAATTTTTTGGAAGATTAGTATGTATTGCCAAACTGGTTTTAGAAAGATTATACAAATGAATACTTCCTCTAACATTGGATGCAGTTCAATAGTTTCTTGTTTTAAATTGCATTTCTTTATTCTGGGTGAAAAGCTTTTCGTATGTTTACTATTCATCATTATTTTTCTATGAATTGTTCACTCATGTGTCGTTCCCATTTTGCTATTACTACTTCAGTAGCTCTTCAACTTTCTTCCCTAGAAATCATAATATTCACTTTTGTTTACCATGTACCATATTGTAGTTGTTTGCACACATATTTCCCTAATTTATTTAGGCTTTCCTGAGGACCAACTCCATGCTTTATACTTTTTGTTATATCCTGCATAACCCTGTACAGGTATCAGGTAATTGATAAATACTGTTGAATAAATGAGTGGATAACCGATAAAAATTCAGCAAGTTATACCAATTGTAAAATAAGAATACATTTACAGTACATCTCAAAGAACATTAAGTACTATGACTTGATAAAGATGAAAACAGTTATATAAAGTATCTGACTACAGGGATTGCCTTCATCTTTGCATTTATTAAAGCAAACTTGTAAAAAGGCTATTAAGCTTAACACATTTTGGTCTGAATCAGAATTGTGGGGACAGAGTACACTTCTTTCAACTTCATGAAACTCTAAATTCTTTGTTTTATATCAGAACAATAACAATATATACATGGCCATTATTTCATTCACCTTCTTCATGTTCCCTCCAAGGGCAGGATAAGGAGGTTTGTTGACATGGCTCCAGTTGACTGGCACTCGGATCATCTCATAGAGCTGAAAGATCACTAAAGCATCTGTGAGGTCACTAAAACAGGAAGGAAAAGCAGATAAAGGAGGAGGAAATGTTGGGTACTACCTAATTGTATTAAGTACATTGGAGACAGACTTATGTCTTTAAGAATGTAAGTCATTTAATCCTTAAAGAATGACAGAACATATCATTTGACCCAGAACTTCCAGTCTAAGAATCTGTCTAAAATGTTTACATAAATATTTACAAAGGTATATACATCCAAGGACATTCATTGCCACAGTATTTATAAATTTGGAAACAACTTAACTGCCTGGCAGTAGGGAGCTGTTGAGTAAACTATACTATAAACTCCTTGGCCACCATTAGACATGAGGTAGATCTCTATGTATTGATATGAAAAGCTTTGCAAGACATATCAAACTTTAAAAAACAAATGGCAGAACATTTCATACAATTTGATCTCATTTATTTAAAAAAATTTCGAGTCAAATGTGGTTATATACCTATACATGCTAAGGACAGTTAATAGCAATTACCTCTATTAGGTAAAGAAAGAGGTCAGGAAAAGGGGAGTACGAGAGTAAGGGTGGAATGTTTTATTTTGTTCTATATACTTACATACTTTCTGAAACTTGTCCAGTAAGAATAAGTTCATGTATTATTTATACATTATTTTTTAACTTAAAAGTAATTATAGGAAAATCACAATAGCTACTCAGTAGGCAGTCGTTTGTGTTCAGGAATGAAGGTTAAGAAGAAGGAACTTATGAACAAGTAGGAATTCTTGAAGTAAAAATATTAACTACTTTGGATTCAGAAAAATATGTTCTCCTGAGAAGGTTAGTGTATGCCTGTTTAGTCTATTTTTAATGCAGTATGCTAAGGACATAAAGCAATAGCAACTGATTTTTTAAATTGCTAGCTTGGTGATGTATTACATGACTTTTCTCCTCCAACAGCTTGTCCAATGAGTTATGTTTCGCTAAGGTTCATATTAAATTACTTTGCATTCTCTGAGCACACACCACATGGCAGTGAAGGCAGCTGGGCCCAGTACTAGGTGATAGAGGGAGAAAGTCTGATATGAAGGTAATTAAGATCTGAGTAGATTATCTTTAGGCACATGAAACATTCTGTATAAAAAAAGAATCACTAAAGTATTTCTACAGGTTCTGGAATCTTACCTGTTTCATGTATTTTTCTTCTTTACTTTAAATGAATTCATTCTTACTCCTGTCTAGTATGGTATTATTATTATTTTGCAAATAGAACTGAGGCCCAGAGAGTTTAAATGATTTCCAGAGACTTCAAGATGAGTTCTAGAACCAACTGGTCATAGAAAACTCTAGGACTAATAGTTCTTGAAATATATTCATAACATTTTAGAGAAGAGAATTTTCAGGGAAAATCTAGCTGTTTTGGTTTGGGCTGGCTATACTATAGGCAGGAACCTAAAAATTCTTGGGGGTGGGTTTAGGAATATGATGCAGACACAATTCTATGGAGACATGGTTCCAGTGTCAACTAGATGTCCACCTAGTGTTCTTCTGCATCTGATGGTTCTCTAAGATTATGTTAAAGAATTTTCTGAAAGTAACAGTTCTTTTCCCAAGAAAAAATACTATATGCTCAGAAGCCCTATGCTGGTATTTCTTGAATAAAGATATTCTTCAGATATCTTTAGCTAAAAGGTTTGGGCAATTCTCTTCTCCACTGTCAATGATAGAATCTAGTGTTCCTGATATTTATGAAATAATTACATGAGTATCAACAAATCTTAATCTGCTATTTAAGCTTACTCTTTAATTATAGAAAAATACATATTCATGGTTCAAAAAAATACAATCATGTTTAAGTTACTAAGATTAAAAGTCTTGGGCGCGGTGGCCCACGCCTATAATCCCAGCACTTTGGGAGGCCGAGGCAGGCAGATCACCTGAGGTCAGGAGTTCGCCACCAGCCTGACCAACATGGAAAAACGCCATCTCTACTAAAAATACAAAATTAGCTGGGCATGGTGGCACATCCCTGTAATCCCAGCTAGAGACTGAGGCAGGAGAATCACTTGAACCCCAGAGGTGGAGGTTGTGGTGAGCCGAGATCATGCCATTGCACTCCAGCCTGGGTAACAAGAGCAAAACTCCATCTCAAATAAATAAATAAAATAATAATAATAATAATAATAAAAGTCTCCTTACTGTTCTCTACTCCTACTACCCAGGCTACATACAGTTTGCTATGTACCTCTCTAGATTTTCTTTTAAAATTCGAATACAAATACTACACACTCAAATTGTAAACAAAATGGGATCATACTAGAGCTTGTTATTCTTTTCTCTTGACTATGTATTAGAGACATTCTTTCAAATCAGTCCATAAAAAGTGGACCCCTCCTCACCTTCAATATTTGTGTTTTAACTTCCCTGCTACTGTAACAGGAGCTCTGGTCTAATTGACATATATCTCCTCTCATCTAGCTGAAATTTACACACTCTTCAAGAGCTTTACAAATATGGGTCTATCACAATCAAAGCCAGTTACCATAATAAGGTAACACTGGTTTTCAATTTTAAAGAACATTGTGAATAAACACCAAGCAGCAGAAATTACAGCATCATAAATCCTCAGTGAGCCAGTGAACTTGGCCTGTTGTGACAATCTTCTTTAAGGAGTTTCTTGGGTATGTAAATTATTAATACATTTAGTTAATTAGAACTTTTTTCTAAAAAAAAAAAAATACAACTAGCTGAAGTTGGCTTCTTTTGCATTTTATTAAGGCAGGCTGGTAGACTGTATAATAAAGAGAGAAGAACAGTTTCCTCTCATCCACACTTAGAAAGATGCATCGTTAGCCCAGGAATTGATTTAGTGAAATATTTTCTTAGCCCTACTAATGCCAATAATGTGTTATCATTTTTAAACAAGAAAGAATGAGATAAGCTACAACACTTATTCAAGGAAAACAAGTTACTTTTACAAATTAGAAAAAATATACACATAAATTATGGAATAATTGAGGTTTTGGCAAAAATAAATGAAAAATGACAATGAAAAACATAACAATTTATCAGTTATTACTGTTACTCTGATAAAGTGAAATTATTTTTATGATCAATAACTATAAAAGAGTAAGACTTATCTTTACTGATTTATGTATATCATCAAAAAATAACTATTATTCCTTTTTTGAATAGTAACTTTCTTTTAAAATCCATTGTATTGCCAATTCCCAGCATCCTGAAACTCTAAAATTTGGCTAAAATTCTTGTGACTTGAGAAAATGTTCCATTTAAACATGCCTACAGTTTGAAACTTGAAAAGTTTGACCCTGACAGTACAGCTGAAGCACAATAAAATATTTACCTGTACAAATGGTTAATGTATGGGTTGACTCCCAAGGAATTCATCCAGTTCCGAAATGTTCTCTCTTCCTTGCTCTCTCCTAGAGTAGACACAAGCTCACGCTGATGACTCAGGACAAAAGGAACCAGGAACTATATGTTAAACCATTCTAGCAGGTACAAACTGATCAAACCTACCTTGCCATGGTTCTTTATATACTACAGTTTCTTTAAAGGGAGAAAAAAAGTCTCTTAATGCCAAAGTCCCTTCTTTCCTACTATCTAGGAAGCCTCCATTTGCTCTAAATCTCTTCTTCTAGATTCCCTTTGATGTCTGTGAACTAGTACTGAGCCATGGGTTTCTCTGCCTAGAAATAACAGATACACTTCTGTGGTCTATAATTATGATTAGATGCAAAAGGGATTCGCTAAACATTAATAAAAATAAAATCTTTTAGCAGTCAGGGTAACATTAGCACATTAAACACAAATAGAAAAGTTATACCTTTCTCGATTCAGAGTTTCTAAATTTGTACAAATTATGGTTTTACACAGGAAAGTTTCCCAGCACACAAACTACACTTTACACCACACAATGAAGGGCAGAGGAGATTACAGGTAAATATAAAAACACACAATGAAGGGAATATAACTATTTTACAGGCTTCCTGAGTTAGTTTAGATTGTCATTACTGAAAATACATAAGGAACACAGACCCAATACAGATTGATAAGAGAAAGACACATTTCGTCATAGTAAGTTCCTGGACCTCAAAGATCCACTCAAGGAGATAACTCCTTCAGGTGCTGTTATTTAACCCTACCTCCCTGAGCATTCCCTTCATAACAGTGCTTACATAATCTCTAAGGAAAATGTGGGTTATGGTATACCACAAAGTGAGCAGGAATGTGGGCTGGTTCTACTACTGTCTGCCTTCTAGTCATTTCCTGATGGCTAATAGTCCTAAGTAACTATCATGAGTATTTGTTCTTCAGTAAAGGTAGTGGACAGTGGAACGGCCCAATTTATATCTTATCACCAGACTCCTGAAAAACTGAAACATTCATACCTCTCATCAATTCTAAGTTATAGGCAAGTTCAAGTCACTCTAGATTTTGGCCCATGTGACAATTTGGCACATAAATCTATAATCATCTGCGTTCCAGGGGCTCATTCGTATAGAGCCATTGCAACAGTCATCTTCACATTGAGTGCCAAAGACTGTATAAACCTGCACACCCAGGACAGGAACCCAAGCCTTGTCAGAGCTAAAGAATTCTGTTATTTGTGCCAACTGTTCAGGAAATAATCTACTCACTGTAGTTTCATGTGGTTTTAATGCCATTATCTAACAGCTTTCCCAGAATCTGCTTTAATTATTGCTCTATTATATAGCCCTATAATTTCTTGCTTAAATTTTATTCCCTCTGGTCTGCATAAAAGGTAACTGATCAGTCTGTTGTATCTGCTACCACCACTTTATAATAAACAGTCTACATGATAATCTTTTTTTAAGAAGAACCAAGCTAAACTAAATATTGCCAGAATCCATGCCAGCTTTATTTGTAGGAATTATTAAACAGGTACAAATTAAATCTATGAACTATCCCCAAAGTGACATAAATATAAACATACTGTGATCAATAACTTGATGCCTTCGATTTGGATTTACCTCTCAGTTGTTTCTCTATTACTATCTATCATAAAGATATATATATTTTTTTCTAATAGTTACATAAGTTTTACATTATTTCCATCTAGGAAAATCTAAATGTCTTAAAATTATGAAGATTAACAGTGCCTTATTGGTTTAATTTTTAATTAAAATATCCAAATTCTGTTGAATCTAATGATGCAGTAAGTAATATTTTAAAATAACTAAACTTGCATTTTGATAGAGTTCTGAAACTATCTTCAGGGGTTCATATTTCTTCCTATTCTCAACTGATTATATAATTATTTTAATTTTTGATACCTGGAAAGTAAAATAGATTTTATAAATGAGCATTTATTTACCTAATAACGTTTCAAAATGTCTTGGTACATAAATGCGCAAAGCTAGAGGCACTATGCATTTGTGCAACAGCCATGGTAAAGCATTACAAAAATATATGTATTCCAGATTGGAAAATGTCTGGATTACAGACAGCTAAAGCAATCTTCAAGGTAAAATATTTTTTCCCCCTAGATCTGATATACAATTTCAAGAAGTAAAATCTTAATTGCTGATATACAAGACTGAAAGAACTATAAAACATTCTTTTCATTTGCAGGCTCAATTTGACATCTACAAATAAAAAAAAAATAGCAATAAAAATAACAACTATCTTAGAAGTAGGCTACTAGGAGGGAAGAAAGGAATTAACATATATTTAACACTCAATAAATGTGCTGTGACACATGAAGTGCTTTCCTCCTCCCTCCCTGACCATTAATAAACACATACTGTATTCTTTCATTCATGATCACATTTAGCTTGCTCTGTAACTCTTCAAATTAAGTTTATTAGTCTTGTTTTATATATGAAAAAAACCAAGGCTCACAGAGGTTATTCAGATTAAATAGTGGAACTAAGATTTGAACAAAGTCTGATAGTTTATGGCCTATGTACCTTCTGTAACCATAAATGAATTCTGAGATGGTCTTTCTATACAGAGCCCACATATCTGGCTCAATTTGATGTGAGGATTTAATATTTAATTGTGTTTTAATTCTCTAGAGAGAAAATTCTCTGCCAATGAGGACATACTAACATATGAATTTGGGATGTGATAAGATCAAGCTTCAAATTTCATAAGGATATATTAAAACTCAAATTTACAGAGGAAAATAATCCAATGACAGTCAAGGTCAAATACATTTTTGACAGATGTATGAGGACATACATATGTTTTAAATAAAGATGACTGATAAATATTTCCCATGTTATCTTAACAGATAGTAAATAATAATGGAAATATTTAGCAATCTTATTCACACTGAAAAATTCCAAAAGCATGCTGAACACTAGCAAAAGAATTCAAACATGAAAAATAAGAGAGCGAGCAAGTTGGAAAAGATATCTAGCAAGAATTCAGTGACTATAAAAAGCAGATCATTTTTAATATGCCACTCTAAACAATGCCTTCTACTGACAGAGGGATTTTGAAATTTTCCAGACTGATAAAACTTAGCAGTGTTCCTTTTGCTTATTTTTTTTCAAGTTCTAATCTCTTACCCTAAATTTCTCTTTGCTGAAAAATCTACATTTTTTGTCTACTTTCCCTCTCAGTTACATATCTACATAGAAAATATAATCTTTATTTTATTTTATGGGACCTTCAAGAAGAATGAATTACTCATATTCTTCGAATAATGTATTTGTTAAATCTGAAGCGTCTTTCATTAATCACAAAACTGTAATTATGAGGTGACAAGGACATTGGAACTTTGGTTATGGCAGTCAAGCAGAAAAAGACCATGAAATTGATTTCTCATTCTGTCTCACTGGGAAAGAAGGGAGTAAGTGTGAATTATGTGAGAGGATGAACACTGAGATCATGAATACTGCACATCATATTCTCCCTACAAAGAAGAATCCCCGCTTTCTCCAAACCAGAAAAATCTTAAGATTGGCGCCTTCCTCTGACAACTGCCTCTCCCTTCAGCAACTGCCATTACCACTGCCACTGTTTTTACTTTAAGTTCTGATACTAATGTGGGGGTTGGTATGTGTGAGAGTGGGAGAAAAAAGAAAGGCTGGGAAACAAAAAATGAGTAAGAACTGGGTATTAAGAATGTTTTGTCATTATGATTCATATATTGTAAGCTTCAGTGAGGTTCAGTAAATATAACATAGCTAATTGATACAAAATAATATGTTATAGAACCTAAATTAATCCTTTCAAAGATTACTTGTGATAAAAGATACATTTTATCACAGGAGAGGGATAAAGGTTTTACATCAAATCATGAAGTCCACTTCTCAAAATTGAGTTCTAATGTGTTTACAACTACATATCCCATCATTATAGAAGGCAAATTAGGTAGAAATTTTATAAAATCAAAGCTTTGTTCTGCTATTCTAATTAAGTTTTATTTCTGTTTCATTCTATGGGCATATTAAGAGAGAAATAACACAGCATGAACAATGCAAAAAATAAAATATCAACCCAGATGGAAAGAATAAATGGTACTAATAAAAAGAACATTCAGAATGAATATATTTATAGAGTATAGAAAAGTACTAAATACAGTACCTACATTAGGAGGGGTCAAATCTGCATTTCATGAAGCAAAACAGGAAAGTATTATATATTATGAGACAGATAACGATAGACCACACAAAAGACAAATAACGAACACTAATTTTTTCATGTACACTAAAAACATTAAAAAGAGAACAATACTAGAGTCAAACTGGAGCTTTCAAAGGAGAAAAACACCTACAAATAATTATTTTATTCTAATAGATAATTCATTGTCCATATTGGTGGTAGAGCTGTTATGTGATCATTTATGAGAATATTTTAAATGTATGATAGTTTTCACTAACCTCTTATGGAGAAATGAAAGATAAGATTTACCCCAGCATTCTCTTTTAACCAAAACTAGCAACCACCTTCCATAATTTGAATTTTTCAATGGATACACACACCTACTACACACACTAAATTGCATTTCCCACCACAGCCCCTATCTCTGACAGTGAAGTAAGACAACAGCATAGAAGATAAATACAGTAAGTCAATTAAAGAAAGGCAGAAAGAACACACCTTCCAGTAAATTCATATCGATGTCATTATTATTCGGCTTGTGCAGGCATGGGTATGTGTTAAACAAATTAGCTACAAAAGCTAAATTAAGTTTAGGATTGCCTGAAACCACATCTGCAGGAGTAACAAACTGCTTGCAGCCCAGTTTATCTGCTTCTTGAAGCATGAGTCCAGCACGCTTCAGGTCATTTGTCTCCTAAACAATAAAACAAAAATGGTTACTACTGAAGTTTTAACTGGCATAATTTTTATTGGTATACGTATTTATAAGCAATTACTTTTCCACAAATATATCAAATAATAACTCAAAATAAGATCAAAATGTGTAGTAATTCCAACTCAACTTACCCATTCCTTTATTTATTTATTTATTTATTTATTTATTTAGAGACAGAATCTTGCTCTGTTCCCCAGGCTGGAGTGCAGTGGCGTGATCTTGGCTCACTGCAACCTCTGCCTCTTGGGTTCAAGCGATTCTCCTCCCTCAGCCCCTGAGTAGCTGGGATTACAGACATATGCCACTATGCCCAGCTAATTTTTGTATTTTTAGTAGAGACAGGGTTTTGCCATGTTGGCCAGGCTGGTTTTGAACTCCTGATCCAACCACCTCGGCCTCCCAAAGTGCTGGGATTATAGCCATGAGCCACTACACCTGGCCTCCATGCCTTTTAGGTTAAAGGGAAAAAAGTCTCTGAGTTTCCTTGCTGGGATAACTGAGTTATATTTTACCCTTTTTGCTAAAATACTCAGCAAAATCCTCAAATATTGTTATCAGTAAGCTCACAGTGGTCGCACTATACGTAACTTATTCAAGGCCAGCTAGTAGAGTGCCGTCTGGATAACAGGCATAGTTATCATACCCACTGTACACTGAGTGAAATTTCCAGAAGGCTCTTCTTGATGAAAAACAAGTTGAAATACATATTTTAAAAATTAAAATTATAGCGAAAAGCACCTTTCACAATTGCAAAACCCTGAAAACAAATGAAACAACCCAAATACCTATGAACAGGAGAGTAGATGAATGAATTTGTATATTCACACAATGACAATCCAATATGGGTAACTCTTAGAGACACAAATTCAAAAAGAAGTACTAGAAATTTAAGTATAACATGATAAACTTTAAAGGAAGTTAAAAGTAAAATGAAGAATTTAATTTTGTAAGGGATACATTCGGATGAAGGGAAACTACATAAAAAGAAAAGCAAAACAACAGTGAACACAAGATTCAAGACTGTGGTTACCACACTGGGCTGAAACAGAGATGGAATAGGGAAGAACTGGGCAGAAAATGTAATGTCAAGGTCTTAGTTTTCCTGTTAGATTGAGAGTTCATGAGGCTTGTTACAATTTCAAAACAACCACACACAAAAATAAATTTAAAAATGGGTATGCACAGACCCATATGAGTATATCATGACCAAAGATAACCTACCTAATTCTGTGCACCACAGTTGCAAAATAATTAATCATGTAAATGAAATCGGAGAAGGCAACAGATTATTAAATTAAACAATGATGAAAAGTTACCAATGTAGACATCAAAAAATGACAATATGTGGCCGGACGTGGTGGCTCATGCCTGTAATCCCAGCACTTTGGGAGGCCGAGGTGGGCGGATCACTTGAGGTCAGGAGTTTGAGACCAGCCTAGCCAACATGGTGAAACTCCATCTCTACTAAAAATAAAAAAATTAACCAGACGTGGTGGTGTGCACCTGTAATCCCAGCTACTCAGGGAGCAGAGGTAGGAGAATCACTTGAGCCCAGGAGGCGGAAGTTGCAGTGAGCCAAGATTGTGTCACTGCACTCCAGCCCGGGTGACAGAGCAAGACTCCATCTAAAAAAGAAAATCCAACCAAACAAATAAAGACAATATGTGGACCTTATTTTAGGTCTTAATTCAAATAAACTATGAAAAAAATGGCATTTATGAGGCAAGTAGAAATGTCAACATTGACTAGATATTTTGATGATGTTACAGATTGTTGTAATTTTTTAAGGTATGATAAGGTACTGTGGTTTTACTTTAAAAGTGTCTTTATCTTTTAGAAATACATATTGAAATATCCATGAAGTAATGTCTAAGATTTGCTTCAAAATAAGACAGAAGGGGAGGGAAATAGGGAATAAATGAGATAAGATTGACCATGAATTGGCAGATGTTGGAACTGAGGGATGAGTACCTGACAGTTTAGTATACTAAGTCTGTTCTCTTTTGAATATAGTCAAAATTTTCCATAAATTTAAGTTCCTAATTTTTTTAATTAAAATGCTTTGCAAATTTTACAGAGCGTTGCAGTACTGTTTCTGAAATATGTCATTATAATAATGTGAGATATAATTAATTAGTAATGACTCAAGTTGCCTTTAAAACCAAATGTTATGGATACAGCACTTTAAGTACATGACATATTTTCATACAATCTATTATCTGACCAAATTTTAATGTTTAGAATTCAAGCTTGTCCAACCCACGGCCAGTGGGTCACATGCAACCCAGGACAGCTTTGAATGTGGCCCAACACAAATTTGTAAACTTTCTTAAAACATTATTAGATTTTGTTGCAACTTTTTTTTTTTAAGCTCATCAACTATTATTAGTGTTAGTGTATTTTATGTGTGACCCAAGACAATTCTTCTTCGAATGTGGCCCAGGGAAGCCAAAAGACTGGACATCCTGATTTAGATATAACCATCCCTGGTATTTATAACTTATGCTAAAAGAATGAGATTCCTAGGAAGTGTGTTTGGTAGGTCAGAATCTGTTACCAGTCCTTCCTAGGAACACCATAAATACTAGGAATATCTATTTTTATTTTGTATATTTCTAAATATAAGGTGCTAAAACTGAAAATTGATTGCTTAAAAATCTAACAACAGGTTGTTGCTTCCTTTCCTGGCATATGTTGACAGTCACAAGAGCACCCTGGTGAGTTCCAATTGCCTTGCACCAGGGAAACATGAACGTAGGATTGATTCCACAAATATTCAAGGTCACAATTATGCAGTTCCCTTTCTTCTGTCATGACAGCCAGTTGGCTTGACATGGAGGTTTGGAGTCTGGGGCATGGAAAAATCTTCCATAGAGCAAAGCACCAAACTTTAATGGAGAGCTGAGGGCTCTACCGGGGAATGCTGCCTGTAGAGAACTGTACTCTAAATTTGACTGTACCTCCTACTCAAATTCAAATTCATAGTCAGAAAGTAGAACAGTGGTTACCAGGGCCTGGGGGAAGGGGAAAATGAGGAGTTTTTGTTTAATGAGTACAGAATTTCCCTACAGGATGATGAAAAGTTTGCAGAGATGAATAATGGTGATAGCTGCACAATGATGCAAATGTACTGCATGCCACCGAACTGAACACTGAAAATGATAAAAATGGTAAATTTTCTATGTCTCTTTTACCAAAATATATTTTTAAAGTTAAAAATTGCACTCACATTAATTCCTGAAAGGTCAATGGCAATGGCAGGTCCATCTTCCCCACCTTTAGGGGCAATCTGATTAAGCAGATGAAAATAGGCTCTCGAGTCCTTCAAGGAAAGACACGAAATAGCATTTTTAAAATGAATAAAATCATCATTGAATTTAGGGAAAACAAGTGCTCAAACTGAAGAAACTGCCTCTATCTCAAAGAATGGAATAACTTTAATAATACAGAATTACTTGTAGGTTCCTGAATGTACCATGCTGTTTCACACTTCAGAGCTTCAAAGCAATCCTGTTTCACACCTCAGAGTTTATAGCAATGCTGTTTCCTGCACCTGGATACCCTCCCTTACTTTTCCATCTGTTTACACACCCAAGCATCAACATCAGTTAAGATTCAGGTCAAGTATTATCTCCTGGAAGCCTTCCCTGGATTCTCTAGGATGAACTAACACTCCTCTGTAGTGCACAGCACCCCTTGCCTACCTCAATAAGTAAACAGTGATCACACTATTAAATCATCCAACGTCATTGTCTCCAAAGATGGATATCATGGTTCTTCCCCAGATATACATTAACACTTCCCATCAAAAGGCAGAAGCTATGTTCTGTCCTCTTTAATTTGGACGGGCCTTATGATTCACTTTGACTAGGAGAATGCTGTGAAAGTGATGTTCTGGGGCTTCCAAGCCCAAATCTTAAGAGCTTCTGCTTCCTCTGTCTTAAAGTTAACCTCTACATAAGAAGTCCAACTATCTGAGACTATCATGCTGTAAGGAAGCCTGAGCTCACCATGTAGAGAGGCCTTGGGGAGGAGCACTGAGGCACCAGACATGTGATTGAGGCCTTTGCGTACTTTCCAGATGAGCCCAACTGACAGCTGAACGTAACTAAGTTAGTAATCCCAGCCAAAACCGTGCGAAGCAGAAGAACCACCCAGCCAAGATGCATCAACCCACAAAATGATGAGAAATACTCATTATAAGCAAATTTTGCATAGTTTGCTATATAGCAATAGATAACTGAAATATCCTTCTGGTACATGCTTGTCTATGAGTAGAATTGGCAAGCTTCTCAAGAGCTGAGTCTTTGCATCCCCTGGGCATAATGCCCTTTAGGAAGAGCTGAATGTTTGCTTAGCTGAATTTTAAGAGATTTCAGAATGAAAGCAGAGAAATAAAATGTCACTTCAAATTGAGAGACTGTCCTCTAGGCCATTATGGAAAAAGATAACCTGACTGAAGGTTATCTAGCTAAAGAGGGAACATGAATTAGAGCCAGCACTGATTACTCTGGGGGCAGGGGACAGGGCAGGGGAGGACATAAAAAAACAGAAGAAAGTCACAGCGCCCTGGCTTGGCAGTGTCCATCCAGGCAGTAAGCAAGGGAAAGTTGTCGTTAGACAGAAATGCCGGTTACAGTCTCCTTGACAAGATTCTCCCAGTAGAGAGGGAAGTGTTTTAAGCTACGCTGGTTAAGGCACAAACCTTAAGATCCCTTTGTTTACTGATTCACTGTGCCCTCAGATAATCTGATTTCCTGTTAGCTGGTTATTGACAAAGTGGGAGTAACAGTGTTAAACCAGTAAACAGATAGAATTATTAGTCCAAATGAACAGACTGACATCCTCATTATAATCTAGCAGATCTGTGGCCTATAAAATGAGAAAGTGTGTTTTAATCTGTTGAGGTTAACATCTCTTTCCTCTCATAGCCAGTTGTAGTTCTTATTAAAAGCCAATGTATCTGGTTTTTAGAAAATATATATTTCGTGAATATAATTGGGGGATCTACTTCACACAGTAATGCAAATTTTCATTTTCTATCCCAAGTGTTCTTGTGAATTTAATTCAAATTTAAGTCTGAACCCCTTTTATTTTTACACTCCACATCCTTTATTTCATGTCACAAATTTGAACATTTAAGTATAAACCTTAATGTCTTGGCTGAAGTTGCTGATGGTATGCCATCCTGCATTGGTCAGATGGTAGTTCACCCATCGCAGCAGTAATTCCTCAGGAGAAAGCTTCATCAGCTCCTCTAGTTCCTCACCTTCATTTAACAATGCAATCAGAGCTGAGGGCAAAACAGCGAAATGTAAGTTCTTCCCATAGCGAGTACATGCAATGAACAGCAAATATTTCTAATGATCTTACCTTCATTCCTGGAAATCTCAATATCAGCAAAAAGGCCAACTTTGATGATCTGCCAGAGAAGTCCCAAGACCAAGTGAGGTTTTCCTTCTTTGAGATCTGATGCACCGATGTTGACCACTGTACAACCAATGGCGGAGGCAGAATTCAGGGCTAGGTTTAAATTTTCCTGAATTGCCAAAAAAAAAAAAAAAAAGTACACATGAGGAAGTACTTTCTTAGGTCTTATCTATAAAAATTATCTATAAGAAACAATGAACTGCCAAATTTCAGATTTATAAACATAATATATATACAATGAAAATACCACTACTCGAAAAAAATCACATGGTTTTAACTGTTACTTTATGTGCCAATGACTTTCAAATCCCTATTTCCACCCAGACCTCCTCTAAGTCCCCACTCTAAGCTCTGTATCTATACATGTACTTTGTTATGTCTACCTGGATGTTCTGCCAATACCTCAAACTCAACATGATATTTCTGTAAAGTGCTCATTTGGAAGTATTTCTTTAAAAAATTATGTACAATTAGGTTTTAAGAGAATTTTAAAGTAACTCTTAAGATGGATTTTACAAATGAGGAAACTGCAGCACTGACAGGTTCCACAGTGGAAAGGCTGGGGTCTGATCCCAGTAGTCTCCAGAGCCCATCCTCTTTTCTTTTTTTTTTTAGACAGAGTCTCGCTCTGTCACCCAGGCTGGAGTGCAGTGGCACGATCTCAGCTCATTGCAAGCTGCGCCTCCCGGGTTCACGCCATTCTCCTGCCTGAGCCTCCCGAGTAGCTGGGACTACAGGTGACCGCCACCACACCCGGCTAATTTTTTGTGTTTTTAGTAGAGATGGGGTTTCACCATGTTAGCCAGGATGATCTCCTGACCTTGTGATCTGCCTGCCTCGGCCTCCCAAAGTGTTGGGATTACAGGTGTGAGCCACCGCGCCCAGCCCAGAGCCCATCCTCTTAATCGCCATGCATTACTGCCATTCTCATATTGTAGCAGTAATAGCAACAATTTAATGTGCTGGTCACAACAGCAGCAAAGCACAGAGGTTCTCAAAGCATAGCGAATATTTCAGTGGCTTCCTCCTATAGTGTGCTGAAGTGATTTATTGAGCTCCAAGTAAATAAATGGCTGTATCTTTGGGGGATCATCTGGGGTGATTAAAATAAGCATTTTGAATTATTTTTGTAGCAGTATTAAGCAATGTTCATTTAAATATAGTTCTCCCGAAAGAAGCAGAACCAGAGAAACCTTCAATATTTTTATAACCTCATAATTCACTACAAATAAACATAAACATGAAAACATTAACAGCAAATTGCAAATACTTTGTGGAAATCTAAGATTTTTAATAACTTCAGGTGTTTTTAATTAACATTCCTGCTTCAGATGTTTTTTAAGTTACCATAAATCAAATCTATGCAACTTTCAAGAGACAACTGCTGCTGATTTAGGCATGATCACTAATATTTTTCTCTTTGCTTCCAAGAGCATAAATGATGTTTGCTCCAGTTGTGATTCCCCAGAATGCATCAGCAGGGGAAAGAACTGGACTGAAAATGAAGCCAATAATAGTGTTAATCTCACAATAACCCATTTCATATGCAATTGACAGCATGTACTGTGGGCCAAAAGAAGTGTATAATTTCGCTAAATTGATTACGATACTAGTAAGAACCAAAACCTACCACTACTCTCAGCCCGGACAATAACAAACAAAACCATGTGTTACTGCCTACATTAATATGACCTTGTGTGCTATCCTCTTGTCTTCACTGGCATGACTTTATTCTGTCTTCATTAGCATGATCTTATTCTTCCAGGAATCTTGAGCCTAGGCAAAAATTTTTCACTGCAGGCACTACCTAAAAGACCCATTAACTCTTCAATGAAAACATCAATGACAGTTTATACTCTAAGAATCTTTGACCTCTTCACCTTAAAATCCTCCCCTTGCTATTTCTACCAGTCTTGGGCTGGTGCATTGAGAACCTTGCCCAATCTGGATCAGAGCCCTCTTGCCCTCTCTCATATTGAAAGATCTGCCCTAAACCACAATTCCAATTCTCAGATGCTGCCCTCACTTTCCCAGCACCAAGACACTAACAAAGCTTTGCAAGTATTTTCTCTTACTGCAATAAACAGTTAACTCAGCTTTGTCTTATCAACGGGTCGTGTTGGTCATATAGGAGAAAAACTGCTTTTGATGTTAATTTTATTCAAAGATGTTTGCTTTGCAAGCATATCAAATGTCTGACAAGTAATTTGGCTTTAAAAAATGGGTAGAAAATAAGGAGTTGCAACATGTTTCTTTCAAGTAAATGTTAGTTTCTACTTGATAAATACAATATTATTGCCCTATCAGTTAGTAGGGAATGGAGTGGTCACACTAAGCTACTTCTAAATATCTTAAGAACAAGAAGTAACAGGAGAACCCCATGGAGAAGTTGCTATACAATTCTTACCATGGGCAACTGCTCTGAATGCCCAGCCTTCCTGAAGACTTGTGTTGATGCGGAAAGATAGGGACAGTAGGGAACCACAAACAATTGGGACACAAGAGAGGTGGCTCCGCCTTCTATAGGGCAGTGGTACATGGTTAGGCTTCGACTGTCTAACAGGTTCCCTCATTTCCTGTTATCTTTGAGAAGTACAGAACTGGATGTTGACTACATGGCTTTCTTGTTCCCTACTTGCTTATAGGTCAATAATGTTGCATATCACTAATAGAAATTACCATTCTTGAAGAAGCCTATTTCCAGTTGCAATTGCCAGATTATTTTTCACATGTTGTACTGGAATCTTCATTTAATATCGACGATTATTGAAAATATTCACATCTATCTTATTTATAGGATACATACATGACCATTTCTTTGCCACTGAATCTGAAACACGGCATTTCTTACTATTGTATACATTTATTGCTTGGTTTTACTTTTAATATTTATATTTAGTGCAGTAAAGAAAATAAAGAAAAAATATTCTGTAAGTATTTTGTGGTAGCCACAGAGTGGATCTGAGGGGCTATGATGCAGTTTTATTTTTAGAGATAGCATACTTCCAATATATGCAGGGGGTAATAGTCTATAGAAGACTAGCTTTCTATAGAAGACTCAATAATTTTAGCAAAATCAAGGATTGCACTTGCCAAATGAAGGACACAGGTTAGCAGTAGCTTAATTTTAATAGCTACTATTGTGACCACACCTTAAATAGTTGCTATTACTACCACCACATGAGAGTGGCAGTATAACACAGTGATTAAGAAATGAGCTCTGGCACTAGACCACTGGGATCATATCCTGGCTCTGCCTCTGTATAACCTGTCAGTGCCTCAGTTTCCTCATCTACAAAATAATAGTATATACCTTATTATAAAGTTGCTGGGGGGATAATTTACATAGTGTGTTTAGATCAGTGACTGATACCCAGTAAATACTCAGTAAATATTACTATCCACTCATTGTTCTAGAGATTTTGAGGGGGAAAGTGTGGTATGTATAAATACCCAGACTTTTACAAGATCTGTATGGAGAAGCCAACTACAGAACAATTTAGTACAAAAAGAATAATTTAAAATTTTGTGAAATGATAAACCTGCAGTGTTATTTTTCAACCACCCAATAAGGGCACTGGCATCAAGCAAGTGCTCATTAATAAATAACTCAATAATTACAATAATATAAACTGAATACTACAGCTTAAGTGCATCCAAAGTACCCTGAATCTTCATTTCATTCATTACAAAATCCAACTGAATTTTTATTTAATAAAAGTCCAGTTTTGGCCAGGCATGGTGGCTCATGCCTATAATTCCAGCACTTTGGGAGGCTGAAGTGGGAGGATCACTTGAGGCCACGAGTTCAACACCAGACTGAGCAACATAGCAAGATCCCATCTCCACAAAAACTTTAAAAAATTGGCATGGCATAGTGGTACATGGTTATAGCCCTAACAACTCAAGAAGCTGAGGTTGGAGGATCACTTGCTCCCAGGAGTTTGAGGTTACAGTGAGCTATATTGGGGGGTATAGGAAGACCCTCGTCTCTTAAAAACAAAACAAAAAAAAACCAAACAGTTTTTATAGGAGAACAACATTACATTAAATCAAAGGTTTTATCTGGGTCCAAGCATTCATTAATAAAGGTCTTACATTTCTCAGCAGAGTAACATGATTATAAGCAAAGGGCAAATACTTACAGAAACAGTGAATGGCGTGAGCTTTTTCTTATTGATGGCTCTTTCATCAATTGTATCTGGTTCAGATAAGTTGATCATTTTGCTAAAGAGAAAATGAGAATAGTTTAATACTCAAAGAAATTTTTTTTAGTTTATTATTGCAAACAGCCAAAATAGATAAATTTTGAAAATAACAATTCATTACCTTAAAATATTAAACAGTAAGCCAGGCATGGTGGCACATGCATATAATCTTAGCTACTTGGGAGGCTGAGCCCAAGAGTTTGAGGCCAGCCTGTGCAAAACAGAGAGACCTCATCTTCTTTTTTTAAAAAATAGAGTCTTACTCTGTCACCCAGGCTGGAGTGCAGTGGTGCGATCTCAGCTCACTGCAACCTCCACCTCCTGGGTTCAAGTGATACTCCTGCCTCAGCCTCCCGAGCAGCTGGGACTACAGGCGCCTGCCACCTCGCCCGGCTAGTTTTTTTGTATTTTTTTACTACAGACGGGGTTTCACCGTGTTAGCCAAGATGGTCTCGATCTCCTGACCTCATGATCCGCCTGTCTCGGCCTCCCAAAGTGCTGGGATTACAGGCTTGAGCCACCACACCCGGCCCAGGAACTTAATTCTTAAAATCCAAGAAATATTCCCATTCCTAAAACAAATCCATCACTCACTACAAGAGTAATCTTAGCATTTCTCCTAATTTTTTTAACCATCCTGAATTTTTTTTCTTTTTCTTTTTCTTTTAACATGTAGTCTACCTCTGTCACCCAGGCTGGAGTGCAGTGGTGCGATCTCAGCTCACTGCAACCTCCACCTCCTGGGTTCAAGTGATACTCCTGCCTCAGCCTCCCGAGCAGCTGGGATTACAGGTGTGTGCCACCTCTCAGAGCTAATTTTTGTATTTTTAGTAGAGATAGGGTTTCACCATATTAGCCAGGCTGGTCTCAAATTCCTGACCTCAAATGATCTTCCTGCCTCAGCCTTCCAAAGTGCTGAGATTACAGGCGTGAGCCACCATGCCCAGCCATCACCCTGAATTTTCTTAATGTTCGTTTTGTCTTTATTTCACTTACTGGTCATCAGCATTCAACAGCCTAAAACACAAAGAAATTCTCCAAGAAGCCTCATAAAGTAGTATCAACACTGTTAAAATTACTGATGTTGCAGAAAGATACGAAGCCAGAGATTTCATCTAAGACCAATAATTTAGACATTTTCAGAGAAATTAATATAAATTTTGTCTCTATATTTTAGAATTTTACCTTTTAAAACAAGATTAGGAAAATACCCATTGAGTTCATAATAGGAATTTCTCTGAGCGTCAAAGAAACATAAGAATTGCAGGTGGAGGTCAAGGTATATTTTACATTTAATGTCCTAAAATCTAATATCCTGTACTTACGGGTAAGGTTTTGTTTTCCTTTTTAAGTAAAAACAAAAAAAAAAAGACTGAAGGAAATGTGTTAGAATGTTAGTAAGTCATTTATGGATGGTAAGGATATTTGTGATGGTTATTTTCTACTTTGTAAATCTTCTGTACTTTTTATAAACTAAAGAAAAGATCTCTGCTTTGTCCAAAGGAGTATGCTGGGACTGTGGTACACACAACGACGACAAAGACATTCCCTCAGAGAGTTTACAGTATAGGGAGAAAAAATAGAATGCAAAGAGCCAAGGATAACACAAGGCTGAATCAAAACATAATTTTCATTTAGGTACAAATAAGGAATATCTTCCCTTTGCATCTCCTCATGTTCCTGTTCCAGTCAATAATCAGTACTCTCTTACTGGAAAAAGAAAAGAGAAACCCTGTAAATATTTAAAACTGCACCAGACAAATAAAAGATTCCTGGCAATTATTATAGTAATACACGTAAAAGACAACATAAAAACAAGGGATTGTATTTGAAAGAAAATTTTGGAAATTTTCCAATAGATACACAGTAGTTCATTTTCTATGCAATATACATTCTCCAGGACCTAAGTAGCTACTGATTCCAAAAGACAATGGACGGCTGAATTGTAGTTTTCATGGAATGCGCATCAATGTAATCAGGAAGAACACAGCTTCCTTAAACAGAAGATGAACTCACCAAAGAAGGATGCCATCTGCAAGTGACTTGAAAAGACTATCATCATTGGGATTCATGGGTATGAGATGCTTACAGTCAGGGTCATTCTCCAGGGCTTTGTTTATCCAGTTAACAAAAGCCACTTTTTCTTCCTCTGAAAGGAGAAAATCTTTGTAGGCAAATCTCATTTCACAAACTTTATTGGACTACAAAAACATACTTGTTAATTTCTGCTCAAAGATAATAATTGACCATTATTAAAAACCTACTAAAACACAAAAGGGTTTAAGAAAAGACGAAAGGGGGCTGGATGTGGTGGCTCAGGCCTGTAATCCCAGCACTTCCCAAAGCAATTCCGAGGCGGGCGGATCGCTTGAGGTCAGGAACTCGAGACCAGCCTGAGCAACATGGAGAAATCCCGTCTCTATTGAAAATACAAAAATTAGCCAGGCATAATGGCACACGCCCATAGTCCCAGCTACCCGAGAGGCTGAGGCTTCAGAATATCTTGAACCAGGAGGTGGAGGTTGCAGTGAGCGGAGATCATGCCACTACACTCCAGCCTAAGCCACAAAGAGAGACTCTTTCAAAAAAAAAAAAAAAAAAAAAAAAATTGCATTTAAATGATCTAGGAAAGATATTTAGGGGCAGAGAGAAAAAAAACAGGTGGGCGGGAGGGGCGCGGTGGCTCACGCCTGTAATCACAGCACTTTGGGAGGCCAAGACGGGCAGATCACGAGGTGAAGAGATCAAGACCATCCTGGCCAACATGGTGAAACCCCTTCTCCACTAAATACACAAAAAAGAATTAGCTGGGCTTGGTGGCGTGCGCCTGTAATCCCAGCTACTTGGGAGGCTGAGGCAGCAGAATGACGTGAACCCGAGAGGCGGAGCTTGCAGTGAGCCAAGATCGCGCCACTGCACTCCAACCTGGCCACAGACCAAGGCTCTGTCTAAAAAAAAGAAATGACAGGACAGGGGAGGGGAATTCATTCCACATTTCCACTTGATATATTAGGAGAAATGAAGGTATATATCTTAAATGAGCACAATATATATTTGGTTTGATTCAAAAATATTTCCAAATATGTATTGCTTCTGAAAGCTAATGAATCAGAAGCAGACCATCAGAGGTCAAATATGTATATGTAATTAAATAAGGAAAAAAATACAAGAAATAAAGACCATGGAAATAAAACCCATCCTCCCCAAAAAGATTTAGAGAGCTATGATTTTTAGCTTACAACAGAAATACTGAATTCAGTCAAGAGTTATTCAAATGAATAAAACAGCTCAATTTCCATGGAACTTTTACTATTAAAAAATTGACACAAATTGGCTGGGTGCGGTGGCTCATGCCTATAATCCCCACACTTTGGGAGGCTGAGGCGGGCGGATCACCTGAGGTCAGGAGTTTGAGACCAGCCTGGCCAACATGGTAAAACCCCATCTCTACTAAAAAATACAAAAATTAGCCAGGTGTGGTGGCAGGCACCTGCAATCCCAGCTACTCCGGAGGCTGAGGCAGGGAGAATTGCTTGAACCTGGGGGATGAACGTTGTAGTGAGCCGAAATCACACCACTGCACTCCAGCTTAGGCGACAGTGACTGTCTCAAAAACAAACAAACAAACAAACAAACAAAAAAATTGACACAAATCTAGACACCAGCACTATCCTTGGCCATCTTCATCCACCAACTTCTCAACACATGGCTTCTAGTATGGGTACATTGATCTTAAGTAGAAAATATTTTCCCTACTGCATGAGTTATGCTGTAGGGAAAATAGGAAGAAACTTAAAGTAAAAACATTGTACAGCTTTATTATTATTCTGTAGATATAAAAATCATTTAAGATTATAAATCCTTAAAGTAAATAATCCCCATTTCCATCAGAGGGTAGCACATAATGAGTTGGCCTTCTCCATTGTTGCCACAGTTCCTAGAATTAGGTAATTTTCCCAAGGGAATATTTTGCAGGTACCCCCAAAATTTAATCCATACATACACACACAAGCCAACAAAAACACAAATATGTACTAATATTTCCTCTTTGTACATATCATAATCTGCCTTATCTTCTCGCCTCTTCATACATACCTCCTTAAAAGGATTTGGAGTCTAGGTATTCAGAGATCACTAAAATACTGTACCTGCCATTGAGGAATTTTTAAGTGTAATTATAAAACAAATATACAAAGAAATGTGATATAAGGGAAATACACCACCAGAAATATATATGCAATGTTTTCAGAATTTAAAAAAAGAAGCAATCACTTTTAGTTAGGGTGATCAAGAAAAGGCTTTATGGATAAGGTACTATTTGAAATACAGGTTTTCAACAGGTGAATATAGGCAAGGAAAGAAAGGATGTTTCAGGTATAGGAACCAGGAATGAGATACCACATCACAACCACTAGGATGGCTGTAATTTTTTAAATGGGCAAAAACAAGTGTTGGTGAGAAAGTGAAGAAACTGGAGCCCTCATACATTGCTGGTGGGAATGTAAGATGGTGCAGCCACTTTGGACCTTGAGAGCTTGTTTGGAGGTTCTAGCAAGGGAGTGCAGCTACTCGTATACCCTTGACCAAAGACCAGTCAACCTCTATTGGGGATGGTTGTCCTCTTCAGCTGAGCACACAGCTTCGGGAGGGACTCACATGGAGCAGTGAGGGAGGAAGGGGACCCTGCCTAGCCAGCCAGATCAGCCAAATCAACCCTGGCAATCAATGGGGTGACAGATGTCACAGCCAGATCGCCCTCACGAGTGTAGCCACTTTGGAAAACAATTTGACAGTTCTTTAAAAATGTTAAACATAGAATTAACAAAAATTCGAGCAATTCTACTCCTAAGTATATGCCTACGAGAATTCAAAGTATATGTCCACACAGAAATGCATTCATGATGTTCATACAGCATTATTTATAATAGCCAAAAACTGGAAACAACCCAAATGTCCATCACCTGATGAAAGGATAAACAAAATGTGGTATTGGCCATAGAATGGAATATTCAGCAATAAAAAGAAATGAAGGGGCCAGGTACCATGGCTCACACCTGTAACCCCAGTACTTTGGGAGGCCAAGACAGGCATATCTCTCGAACCCAGGAGTTCAAGATCAACCTGGGTGACACAGCAAAACCGCATCTCTACAAAAGATAGAAAAATTAGCTGGGCATGGTGGTGCACATTTGGGAGGCATGGTTGTGCACTTGGGAGGCTGAGGTGGGAGGATCCCTTGAACTCTGGAGGTTGAGGCTGCAGTCAGAATAAAAGGAATGAAGTATGATATAAGTGACAACACGGATGAGCCTTGAAAATATTACGCCAGTGAAGAAGCCTATCAAATGAAAGGCTACTACAGTATGCTTCCATTTCTATGAAATTTCCAGAATAGGCAAATTTATAGAAATAGAAAGTAGTTTAATGGTTGCAGAGCCTTCGGGAAGAAGGAAATGGGGAGTGACTGATAACAAGTATGGTGTTTTTCTTTGGTGTAATGAAAGTGTTCTGAAATTAAATAGTGATGACAATTGCACAACTATGAATATGCTAAAAACTACTGAACTGTATACTTTAAAAATGAATTTTGTGGTATGTCAATTATATCTCAATAAAGCTGCTTTTTTTTTTTTATAAAAGCCATTAAATGTTCCATATCTTTTTCTAGAGAATAGTTATATAGGTGTACTCATAGGTTAAAGAAATCATCAAGCCATATACTTAAGAATAGCACACTTTGGCTGGGTGCAGTGGCTCACACCTGTAATCCCAGCACTTTGGGAGGCCAAGGTAGGCAGATCATGAGATCAGGAGATCAAGACCATCCTGGCTAACATGGTGAAACCCCAACTCTACAAAAAATAAAAATAAAAAAAAACAAAAACAAAAAAAAACAGCTGGGCGTGGTGGCGGACGCCTGTAGTCCCAGCTACTCGGGAGGCTGAGACAGAAGAATGATGTGAACCTGGAAGGTGGAGCTTGCAGTGAGCCTAGATTGCACCACTGCACTCCACCCTGGGTGACAGAGCGAGACTTCGTCTCAAAAAAAATTTTTTTTTAATAAAGAAAAAGAATAGTACACGTCACACACTTTACTACATGTATCTTATACCTCAATAAACAAGTAAACAAAAATTTATGGTGACAAACATTAGAAAAGAGGTAACCTCTAGGGAAGAATAGTTACTACTATTGGGGGAGTCTTCAGGTAATGAAAAGATTCCATATATTGTTCCGGTTGGCAGCTACATGAATATATACACATGGAAAAATTCATTGAGCCGTATACTTAAGATTACAGCACTTTGCTGAATGTGTATTATACCTCAATAATTTGTTTTTTTGTCTTTAAAAAGAAGCCACTTCAGTAGAAATGACAGGCAGAAACTGGGTTAAGGGGTGAATACCTTTCAAAAAGTGAAGGTAACAGTTATGTACCTCTATGGTAAAAAGTTAGGCAAAACATACAATAGATGAGAGAAATTTGAGTGTATGACTAGAGGAAAATCCAATTAGGAAGGGACAGAATCAAGAAGATAATTAACAGATTCAGGTCTGAAATGAAGAAAGAGGGGAAAAGGTTACAGGTAATTTTGTCAAAAGGCCAAAAACCATAGTTCTATGTTCGTATGAATAAAAAGAACTTGGCCAAAGGTTCTTAGACATCTTAGATAGCTTAACATGGGGAAGACACCTTATCTTAAAAGTTAATATGCCTCTGCATTTCCCACTGGGCAATGGTCCAGCAAATTAATGAGATCAAGCAAATCAGGTGCTATGCTCTCTAGTCACTTGGTTACTAGATAAAAGGTGAATCAGGTATCTCAGATCTCAGAAAATGGAAGAGAAAAATCCTTGCAATATAAGCCTCTCCACCATTCCTAGCTCAGGTGTAAAAGTAAAGCCATCTCATCAGTCAGGATGAAAAGCCATTCAAAAGCCACTTTTAAATACATCTAATGCTAGAGTACAAACAACTTCCACTTTGTTGTTTATAATCTTTTTTCTGTAGACTGAGCCTGATCCATAGTAGGAACTCATTGATTTCAATTATTCTAGGATTTTTCATTTTGACATCTCTGAAACTGACATGTATTTCAAATTCAGTGGCATGTTATACTGTGCTCTGCACTATTTTTTCTCCTCAATGGCACATAAAATAATGGTATGAATCACAATGAGTGGCATCTTAGAACTGATTAAATACGTCACTTAATGAATGAATCAGTGACTAAAAGATCAGATTTGGAGGAGTCAGTTACCTGAATAAGAATGCTGTGTGCCTTCACTGGAAATAGATGAAGTTCCTCCAATAGCAGTAATCCCTTCCCTCTTGTTAATTATTTTTCGGAATGTTTTGCTGATATCTTTGCTTTTTAATTCTTGCATTAGCTGGAATGGAACATAAGTAAAATTGAGAATCAGATAACAAAAACCTGACAAGATGAAGGATATTTATTTATACTTCTTTATTTAATAAGAAATAACATCAAATTAAATACTAGTCAGTTGTACTTATTGCTTGTATTCACAGATAACTTTCATCATTTTACCAATAACACAAAATAGACAAATACTTGAACCCCAAACAGTGAAATAAATTTTTTATACCTAAGCTTAAATTGAACACACTGAAATTATTCTTCTTGGGTTGCCATAATCTTCTGTACTGAAAACCTAAGATATAACTAACTACATGCTAAAAATAAAAGAATGCCTTAATGAAGATATTTTCCTGGCTGAGTATCTCAAATGTATTCATGTTAAAATAAGTCAGCTCTTAAAGGAAATAACATAGGCTTACAGAAACTCCCTTTCCCAATCACTTTCTCACTGGACTCACCAGAGACTGGCAAGACTGAATTCAATCAGTTCTGCATGCAGCAAAGTGATTGGGTTTTTTAAAAATGCGAATCTGATCTTGTCACTTCACATTCTATTCTTCTCACTTCATTGGCTTCCTATTGCTTTTAGGATAAAAACAAAAATTCGACATGGCCCTGTGTGACCTGATTCTGACTGACTTCCCCAGCTACATTCCTTACCCTTACCATCTCAGCTCCAGCCACACAAACATTCTTTCAGTTGCTTGAGAATACTCACCATCTCTAAAGCCACAGGGCCTCTACACATGCTGTCATGTCTACCTGTCTCCCACATTATTCATTTTCCTGCAACCCACTTTTAAAATCTTTCTTCAGAACACATCACAGACTTCACGCTGTAAGGATACCTTCCCTGAGTCCCTGCATTATCCAGCCTCGCCTCCAAATTCAATTCCTTCTACCACAAACTCTCACAGGACCTGAACCACTCTGTCATAGCAATTCTCAGTTATCTTCTATCAATTTGTGCATTGCAGTCTCCCCAACACATATAAACTCCATGAAGGCAGGAATCACGTTTCTTTTTACTCATCAAATTACTCACAGTGCCTAGCAAAGTTTCTAGGAAGAGAAGAGCTACAATATCTGCTTAATCAATAAAGAATGCAAAGTCAGACAATTTATATTTCATAAATATTTATTCAATTATATTAATGGACAATAAGCATTGAACTCAACTAGTTATTCTAGGGAATGAATTACTGTTATCTAAACCTGATTTCCATTCCAACAATTTGAGAATAATTTTTTCCTTTGTTTTATGAGCTAGTTGTGGAAATTATTTCAATAATAATAGTTATCGTCATTATCATCATCATTCTAAAGCAGTCCTTTTTCTGGCCTCTGAAGCTGGATTTAACCAAAGCTAGTGATGACATTATTACAATTCTGCTTTAAGCAAGATTATCAGTAGCCCAAAAGGATGAGATTACTTACTGACACAAACTCTTCAAAACTGATTTTGCCATCTTTGTTGCTGTCAGCAACTGATATAATTTTCTCCACAATCTCTCGCACCTTGTAGCCAGGCAGAGGAAGGCTTGCTTCCTTAAACAGGTCTTGAAGTTCATAGTCACTGACATACCCACTATTGTCAATATCTGTAAAGATATATCATCAAATATATTTTGTAATCTTTGTTGAAGATGTACACTAAGAAGGCTTTTTGGGAGGACTCACAGACATGCAGACAGAGCCTTCCACATTTGTTTCACAGGTGGCAGTAACCTTTTTTCCTGTATCTAAACTGTACAGAATATGCTATATGCTTTATTTTAAAAACTCATATTTAAATCAGGCTTGGTAGTTCCAGCTATTTGGGAGGCTAAGGTGAGGGGATCACCTGAGCCCAGGAGTTCAAGGCTGTAGTGAGCTATGATCACACCACTGCCCTTCAACTTAGGCAACAGAGTGAGACCCCATCTCTTAAACAAAAACAAAAACAAAACAAAACCCTTGTATATATTTAAATGGAGTTTATCTCTGTTGCGGGAAGTCAGGGACCCCGAACAGAGGGACTGGCTGAAGCCATGGCAGAAGAACATAAATTGTGAAGGTTTCATAGACATTTATTAGTTCCCCAAATTAATACTTTTATAATTTCTTACGCCTGTCTTTACTGCAGTCTCTGAACATAAATTGTGAAGATTTCATGGACACTTATCACTTCCCCAGTCAACACTATTGTGATTTCCTATGCCTGTCTTTACTTTAATCTCTTAATCCCATCATCTTCGTAAGCTGAGGATGTATGTCTCCTCAGGACCCTGTGATGATTGCATTAACTGCACAAAAATTGTTTGTAGAGCACATGTGTTTGAACAATAGGAAATCTGGGCACCTTAAGAACAGGATAACAGCGATTTTCAGGGAACAAGGGACATAACCTTAAAGTCGTGGCTGCCTGAGAGCCAGGCAGAACAGAGCCATATTTCTCTTCTTTCAAAAGCAAATAGGAGAAATATCTTGGAATTCTTTTTCTCAGCAAGGAACATTCCTAAGAAAGAGAATGCGTTCCTAGGGGGAAGTCTCTAAAATGGCCACTCTAGGGACGTCTGTCTTTTACAGTTGCAGATAGAGATGAAATAAGCCCCGGTCTCCCATAGCGCTCCCAGGCCTATTAGGACGAGGAAATTCCTACCTAATAAATTTTGGTCAGACTAGTTGTCTGCTCTCAAACCCTGTCTCCTGATAAGATGTTATCAATGACAATGCATGCCTGAAACTTCATTAGCAATTTTAATTGCGCCCCAGTCCTGTGATATCACCCTGACTCAATTTGCCTCGTAATATTTTATTACCTTGTGAAGCATGTGATCTCTGTGACCCATACCCTATTCGTACACTCCCTCCCCTTTTGAAAATCACTAATAAAAACTTGCTGGTTTTGCAGCTTGTGGGGCATCATGGAACCTGCTGACATGTGATGTCTACCCCGGACATCCAGCTTTAAAATTTCTCTTTTGTACTCTTCCCTTTATTTCTCAGACTGGCCGACACTTAGGGAAGATAGAAAAGAACCCACAAAGAATTATCGGGGTGGGTTTCCCTGCTATATCCCCATAGATTTAGGGCCACCATATATATTTTAAGGGTACTGTTACTCTGATAGAAAACTCAGTTTTCGCACATGACTAAGCATCAAAGAAATAAGCATGGGGGGGAGAGGCCAGACACAGTGGCTCAAGCCAATAATCCCAGCACTTTGGGAGGCCGAGGTGGGCAGATCACCTGAGGTCAGGAGTTTGAGATCAGCCTGGCCAACATGGCAAAACCCTGTCTCTACTAAACATACAAAAATTAGCTGGGTATGCTGGCGGGCACCTGTAATCAAAGCTACTCAGGAGGCTGAGGTAGGAGAATCACTTGAACCTGGGAGGCAGAGGTTGCAGTGAGCCAAGATTGCACCACTGTACTCTACCCTGGGCAACACAGCAAGACTCCATCTCAAAAAAAAAAAAAAGAGGAATAAGCATGAGGAAGTCACAGATAGCTAAAAAGGGAGCACCCACTCAGACTTTAACTTCTTGAGGGAATTTAGAAAATGAATCTGCTGACCCCACATTCCATATAAAATATGTGTGCTGTGTAAAATACACATAAGATATTTGTGTTCTACATTTCACTTGGTGGCAATTCTGTTTAATCTGTCAATAATTCATTGCTGCTTCATTATGTATTCATGATACCATTACATATGCTGAATCATTTGATGTCATTTGAGATTAGGTGTTCCAGAAATTCACAACTATATTTGGACTTTGGGAAACAGGTTTCCAGGTGTTTTCATGTCATCATTGAGAGATGCCCTTCCCTAGGTTTTCCCTAGAGACTGGGTATCACTTCTTGACTCAGAACAAAGGCGACACAAAACACTTCTGCCCAGAGTTGACAGCAGAGCTTTGCATTGTTTTGTTGCCTGGATCTGCCTTGGATAGGCTCTCTTTGCTCATCTGGTAATAGCTGCTTTGTTTCCTATATTTCTTGTTATTCTTAATAAAAGAGATGCCATACTCACTGAATTAATGGTTAGGAGAGAAATTTTTCTTTGGAACGCTCATATGAAAGTTTTAGAATTAATACTGTTCAGAATGATAGAATATTTCTAAACTAGAACCACTGATAACCAAAATATTGGTATAATTGCAAAAGTCAGCTAGGAAGCTAAGTTGCTTGATATTGCAATAATATTGCTTTCTTTGAATTTAGAGAAAAATCTCATTACATCACCAGTTCAGAACTGTTTCCCATAATTCTGAAATATACACATAGATTAGGCTGGCTTATTTCTAAATCAGCATAATAGTAGGAAATATTTTAAAATAAACAAGACTGAGGAAGCTATTGCCTAATAACTATCATGTTAAACTAACAAGATTAGTTAAGAGCTAGGATTCTGAAGACAGATATGGGGACTTAAGCTCCCAGCTCCATCCCTAGGCCCTCTGTGGTTTTGGTGTGACATGACAAGAACTAACAGAAACCACTTAATGAACATATATGCTTAGCCAAGTGACTTGTTAATAACTTGACTTATCTCATGAAATTCTTTTTTTCTTTTTTTCTTTGAGACAGAGTCTCGCTCTGTTGCCAGGCTAGAGTGCAGTGATGCGATTTCAGCTCACTGCAACCTCTGCCTCCGGAGTTCGAGTGATTCTCCTGCCTCAGCCTCCTGAGTAGCTGGGACTACAGGTGCAAGCCACTACACCCAGCTAACTTTTGTATTTTTAGTAGAGATGGGGTTTCACCATGTTGGCCAGGATGGTCTTAATCTCTTGACCTCGTGATCTGCCCGCCCCAGCCTCCAAAGTGCTGGGATTACAGGCGTGAGCCACTGCGCCTGGCCATCTCACGAAATTTACAATAACTTTGAGGTGGTTACTAATGTCATCCCCATTTTAAAAGTGAGGAAATAAAGGCTTAGATTAAATAACCATAAAGGTCACAGTTTGAAAAGAAAACAAGACTTTCTTACAACTCGGCAACAACAAAACAAAACAACTTGATTCAAAAATAGGCAGAGGGCTTGAAACGACATTTCTCCAGAGAAGATATACAATCGGCCAATAAGCACATACAGATGCTAAACATCACTAGTCATAAGGAAAATGCAAATAAAATGAGATACTACTTCACACCCAGGAGAATGCTTATTATCCAAAAAAAAAAAAAAAAAAGAAAACAAATGTTGGTGAGGATGTGAAAAAAATGGAATCCTGGTACACCACTGGTGGGAATGTAAAATGGTGCTTCCACTATGGAAAACAGTACGGTAGTTCCCCCCCGAAATTACATATGGAATTACCATATGATGTAGCAATTCCGCTATTATGTTTACACTCAAAATAATTGAAAGCAGGGACTTGAACAGGTATTTGTATACCCATGTTCATAGCATTATTCACAATAGCCAAAAGGTGGAAGCAACACACATGGCCATCACTGGATGAGTGGATAAGCAAAATGTGGCATATACATACAATAAAATATTATTCAACCTTAAAAAGGGAGGAAATTCTGACACATGCTACAACATGGGTGAACCTTGAGGACATTGTACTAAGTGAAATAAGTCGGTCATAAGAAGACAAATATGTGATTCCACTTATATGAGGTACCTAGAGTAGTCACATTCATACAGAAAGTAGGATGATGGTTACCTGGGGCTGGGGGAGCAGGAAGTGGGAGTTATTGTTTAATGGATATGGAGTTTCAGTTTGGGAAAGGGATGGTGGTGATGAATGTAGAACAATGTGAATGTACTAAATGCTAATGAACTATACA